CTTCCAATTTATGCATATCTTAGAGCAATCAAAATAATAAACAGCAATAAATCGAGCTGCGATAATGGGAATTTTTTAACATGTGGCATAGAACTATTATATTGTAAGTAGAAAATAGAAAAATTTGAACCAAAGTATTATAAATACTTGTAAGATTCAACATTTGTTTTTTTCTTCGGAAACACCCGTTGGTAAATTTTTTCACCAATATTTATTAAATGTGAATCGTTAGGAAATTTATAAGAAAAAAAATTTTAAATCGATTTAAGAAATTGAGAAACATCAAAGATGATAGTTTCGTAATGCTAGACGTAGAACCATATTTCACATGCAATTGTACAATTTAACTTTAAGATATCTTTCATTCCATCGTGTAAGTGTACTTAAATTTTTTTTTATTACAATTTTAAATTACAAAATAATGTAGAAGAACAAATAATAGGTCATTGAATATTGAGAATGACATTGTTCTTTATTTCATTGAATTGTATAGTAAGATAAGAAGACACGGGAGATAGAAGCGAACTTTTCTATGGAATATTTTTAGTAAGCTGTTGCATAACAAAACATTTTTGTAGAAAATTAATGTTTAAGTGTAAAATTAGATAACAAAAACACGTGATACATGGTAGAAAAATAAAGAAAAGCTGTATTATAATGACATTACATTGTAACAAATTAAAAAAAAATAAATAAATAAATAGCAATAAAATTTATAATATTACATATACCACCAGTATTAATTCTTATTAAAATTATCGTTATTGAAGATCAAAGAATAATATGCTGGTAAGCTATAACTATACTTATATCTCATATACCTGTAGGTAAAAATGAGGTCCACTCAATCTAATTATAATTAATATTCATAGGTATAAGCCACGGTCTAACTTTACTAAATTTAAATGTATTTTTATATATTGGAGGTGAAAAAACAGGCCCAGATTATACCACCAAAAGGAGATGCTACAGTAGGACTCATAGTCGGACATAGCAGATGTTGCGATCAGGTACATATTCAGTACACGTGATGAAGCTGGTATCTCGAGGAAAAAACTAGCCAAAATTTATTGTGATTCGTCAACTACTGGGAAAGAAGATAATTTTTTAATCATATACATATTTACTTTTTACAGATGCTCTTTTTTTTACTCCTTAAATGTATTATTTTTTCTAAAATTCGGCCTTACCGATACTTTCAAAAAACTCGTACACTTTTATAATTTTGTTTTAAATTAATCGGAGTAGAAAGTAATTTTTTTTTTTCATATCTTGAGAACATGACCTTAGAATTTTTTTTCATGGCTTAGGTCTGTGCACATACTCAAGTATAGACACTTTATGATTTTCTTTAAATTTGTACAGTTCATTATTAGTGTTTTACCAATGACGGAACTTGGTAAATTTTTTTTTTTTCTTACCACGAATAATCATAGGATTTTTTAAGATAAAAAAAATGAANCATAAATAAAACAAAAAATTCTATTAGACCACACCGTACATATTTGTTAACCCTAGAACTCAGCCAATATTTCATTTAAAAATTATGAACCTTACAAAAAATCATATAAGCGCTTATCTTGTATGAATTAGCCCACATTAGTTGCAAAAACAGATATCTGAAAATTAGTATAACAAATATTTTCATCACACTTTGCTTCAAAAAAATTTCTTGTTTTATTACAACCATAGGAATGACAATAAAAATTTAACATAAGTAGAAAAGTTGAATAACAAACTAAACAATTAAAATCTTTTGGTACTAAGCTTACCCTACCTATTATTCGCTTTTAGTTATTTTATATATACTATCAATGTTTCGTACTCGTTTTTTTTTTTTTTTTTTTTAATAATTAAACACAAATATTCTTTAAAATTGACAAAACCATCGGTTAAAGTTTTATAAAAACACATCATTTATTTTATTGTTGTATTTATTTTCGAAATCAATAACTTGAAATGGCTGAAGCGATAATAATCCTTCAAGAACGAAAACAAAGCCTTTTTGTACTCCATTGTAACATAAAATGCAAAAAAAAATATCGCAATTGAAAATTGAAAATTGAAAAAAAAATTTTTCAGCGCAGTCATATACATATTTCAACGTAAATAATAAATAACTCACGGTAAGTTATAAATACAGCGTGCGAAATAAAGAAAATCCCAATCGAATGAAATACCAGTCACGTAAACTCATAGTATGATTTAAGCGTAAAAATGTCTTCGCTCCAATTAAACTTTGCTCCTCGGAAGAATAAAATAGAAACTGGAAAACTTTCGAATTTTCCGCAATCTCTTCAGTAGAGGCAAACTCAACACCCGGCACTCTGCCGACAAGAGCCATAAATCAGCCACACACAAGCGGACGATTTTAATCGTGGAGCGCGTCGAAGAAGCACGTACTCGTCGAGGTGAAATTTTGCGGTGAAAACCGAAAATCATCCCACCGATACTTTTCCTCGAATTTACTCATACTCCCCCTGGTACCATCCGACTACCACCACCAGATGTACCGATGCCCAACGCAGCTCGGCTCTCGCGCGCATGTCCCCGAAATTAGTTTCTCCACACATAGGCTGCAGCCACACATCAGGCGCGCTTTTCTCTCTTTTTCTTTGGTTGCCCTACCCCTACAGTCTATACACACGCACCTGTGAAGTTCGGTAGCTTTATTTTACAGTATACCCGCAGTCGCAGATTAGTAGTACTTTGCTCGTTGTGCTCTAAGGGAAATCGCTTTTTGTGCCCATCGGCACTCGGGCGAGCTTTTCGTACGTGTACCAAACCTCATCTTCCTACTCCCCTAAATCCCCCTGTGGTACCTTTTCTCCCCGAGGGCGAATGAATGCGTGCTCGCGGTTGTCACGCGTGTAAATCTTGGCTGTGATCTTGGGGGGAAAAAAAGAGGAGGAAAATAATTTAAAAAAAAAGAAGTAAAAAAAAGAAAAGAAAAAAAGAGAGCATCGAGAGGAGCTTTGAATATACACAGAGCGAGAGGGTCACGGAGCAATGTACAGGGAGGCGGTGATTCGCGCCTTCCGCATCCTGAAATCAACGTCCGAGCAGACGAGCACTGGGTCGAGGCGCTGTTTTCACTCTCACTTGGAGGTACGTATACGCGTACTGCACATGACGGTGTATTGATTTTTAGGGTGCGAGTCGATTTTTTTTTCTCCCCCCTTGTCCTAACCCATCATCATCACCACCACCACGAGCCCGTGGAGGGGGTGGCTTTTTTTTTCACGCTCCATTGCGAGGCAGAGCCAACAACGTGATACACGTATTATGTCATACGGAGCGGTGAAACGTGTGTGTCTTTGTCCCTCCACGTGGTTGCGACCCTGTGATGTGTATAATATAATATATGTGCGCGACCCGGTGGTGGCAGTGGCCGTGTGTCCACCAAGATGTAAAAATAAAACGTTTTATACCTACGGTTGCTCTTGACTTGTGTGCTTACTTTGATGCCTGTCGCGCGGTCTTTGCCCGTCCACCGTTTTGCCTCGGTTTAATTTTAACGCCGGCTACTCTCACGTGATTCAGCAGTCCGGGAAATTTTTTTTTTTTTTTTCTTTCGTTTTTTGTGGTTAGCGAGGTATTTTAAAGAAAACAAAATGTATACGATCTGTCGTTTTGGCTGGCAAGTGGAACGAAAATCGTTATTATATTATGCAAATTAATAACTTGTGCAAGTGTAAAAAAGATTCAAATAAACGAGCTGTAGATACAAGGTTGTAACTGTACCTGTTGGGTTTCCGCTTAGAATCGCCTGGCGATAGGATCAACGATGTAACAGCTGTAACGTACACGAGGGTGCTTGACTTAGGGGTTGATTGATAGGACTTGTTTGGTCAATTAGCTCGATAATCCCATCGGTCTTTGTTCTCGATCCTGTAGAGCAACCCTAATTATTTTGTTTTCCTGTTCGAAGATTACGAGATTAGCATTGGGTTCTCTCTTCGAATTTTCGAAAGGTTATTTTCAAGTCTTATGAATGACATCAATTTTTTGAACATTCGTGGTAAGGCCGGAATATGGTTTTACAGAGAGCCAGTTACCATAATGGCAAAAGCTGCCACCTGGTTTTTTTTTGTAACATGACATGCACTTGAAATGTGGAAGAATGTATGAAAGTTTTAGATTTTTCACTTACAGACTTAAACACCATAAAAATTATTTTATTTTTAATGAAAAATTCTAACTTTTTTAAAAATAATTAATTTTTCAATTTTTTCTTGAGTATCATAAATAAAACAAAAAATTCTATTAGACCACACCGTACATATTTGTTAACCCTAGAACTCAGCCAATATTTCATTTAAAAATTATGAACCTTACAAAAAATCATATAAGCGCTTATCTTGTATGAATTAGCCCACATTAGTTGCAAAAACAGATATCTGAAAATTAGTATAACAAATATTTTCATCACACTTTGCTTCAAAAAAATTTCTTGTTTTATTACAACCATAGGAATGACAATAAAAATTTAACATAAGTAGAAAAGTTGAATAACAAACTAAACAATTAAAATCTTTTGGTACTAAGCTTACCCTACCTATTATTCGCTTTTAGTTATTTTATATATACTATCAATGTTTCGTACTCGTTNTAAAACGTATTAAAAATATTTTATTAAAAAAAAAAATGATTTGAAAATATTTTATTTTAAATAAAATGTTTCTTACAGTATTTTATTTGAGTCACTATTGTAAATAAAACAATATATGCAGCATTTTATTCAAGTACTTCATTTATCTGAAGTAATTGAGTATTCAAATAACTAATTGAAGTTCAAATGAAGAATTTCAGAGTATGTAAATTCTGTTGAATACTGTGTATATATGGTTGTCTAATCGATAACAATCATAAAAATTAACCCTTGAAATTAATGTCGTTTTTCTACAGAAACGGGCCGCCGTGCCAAAGTACACGAAACTCTGCTCAGCGAGATATCTAGATGCCTCTTACGGAAGTGCCTTGGAGCTCGAACGAGCACAACAGTCACGGTAATTTATTGCAAAATCGTTATTTTTTTTCTGACTATCCATCATATAATTGTATATTTACACATGCATTATTTAGTAATTAATAACTGTACTGGGTGCTAGAGTTTGGCAAATATGTTGAAAGGAGCATGCTTACAATGAGGAAATTTAACACGTATATCCATAATTTAGATTTTTACTTGAAAATAATAAAAATAAGGAGTTTGTGACTAAGAGAATCAGAAAAAAAAAAAACATAAATATTTTAGCTGATCCAAGTTTGTGCTGAAACTTTGCGTGCATGCATGCATGAATAATAAAATTGAGATAATAACCCCAAGGGCCAGCTGGTAGGCCTCGACCTACATAAAGGACTATTTGACCGAGGAATTTATTTTCTTAGCCCTTGCTGCAGTAATTTCGGGGCAATGTTCGAATTATACACCTTCCTCCACTTGTAATTTTGATTTTACTTTGATACTATATTTTTTTAATGAGTTTTTTCTGTGTCAGGTAGTAATAAAAAAAAGAAAAAAAAAGTAATTTATTTTTTATGAAAAAAAAGATAACTTTTTCTACCAAAAATTGGGTTATTCTAGATTTTCCGATTCTAAAATCTAGATACTATGTATTTTTTTTTTTTTTTTTTTAAATCAGACACTCAATGTAAAACTAAAAAAAAAAAAATCACAACTTTTATAAACGCGTTCAATACATTACTCTCTTATGAAAACGCTGATGGTAGCAAAAGCTTGTCTAATAATTGACAGTGGCTCGTCGAGCAGCATTTGTTTGCGACCCGCAATATATTTCAATGGAGAACAATTCATCAAGTTGTACCGATTGATCGATAAATCGAAATCGTCATTGTTGGGGCCGAGTATATTTATATGATATAAAAGTGATGGTCGTGCGTTAACTAGTGTCGCATGGAAGACTTTGACTTCAAGTGCGGCCGCTACTGCCGGCCACACGCGCTCGAGAACTTGTCGTCCACTGATAGGGATATCCCACACCAAATGGGGTATCGACAGTTTTATTTATTTTTTTCCTCCTCATCCATTTTGATCCAAGCACTAACTTTATTAACAAAATAACTATTTTCGTGGGTAAAGCTCACTAATAAACTAATCAATCTGATTTCTATCTGTTATTTACAGCACTTACAGCTTCATTCATGACAGCCACTACATGTAGTGAGTATCATGCGCGTATATTTTGTGTGTGTGTATGGGTGTGGGTGTAAAATTTACTAACGATAATGGTATTACTCTGCAAATTGGTCCCTCGATTGCACATGGTTACGGGAATATTTAAAATTTACGGTGTAGCATTATTGTATTTTTTTTTTTCTTTTCGTTATGTTGTATTTTTTTATCGCAGTAAAATTAAAAAAAAAAAATAATAATATTTATACCGTACATGCTTAAACCGTTGATTTTAATTCACAGCGAAAAGACTCATCTCGATGTAAAAGAGGTTATTCAAAAACTTTTCAGCACGAGAGACCAAGATCAAGCCACCAACGCGGAGGATGTCATGTTTGACATGTTCAAAAATGAGGAGACTGGATTGCTTCACGTCGGAAAATTTTTGGCGGTAAGCACATCGTTTGGTTAAAAAAATAAAATAAAGTTATAACATATAATCACGTAGAAAAAGAAAATGTTTATACCTATAGGCCTTGAGAACGACTGGTCTGAGAAAAAATGACCCCCGACTGCAGGAGCTTACGGACAATTTGAAAAAGGAGCACATAAAATCCGGCGGCCACGAGGGCATATCCCACGAGACCCAAAAATTGGATCGCGAACAATTCCGAAGGTAATAATAATAATAATAATAATAATAATAATAACACACTCATACGCTCCAACCTTCGAAACGCAATCCATTTAATCGGTAAAATATATTGTTTCTAAAAAAAAAAAAAAATACAAACCCAGTACCATCGATCAGCAACGAAACAATTAACTGAAACAGTTCTTGACAAAGTATTGCCGAGTCGGAGATATTTCTTGTTAAATAATTATTATTCGAATTCCACATTAAAATGTCGATCAATCAATACACGTGTAAATCTCACCCGCAGGATCATAACGCCCAACATCGTCCTGATCTCGCGTGCGTTCCGGCACCAGTTCATCATCCCGGACTTCCCGGGCTTCACCAAGCACATCGAGGACTTTTACTGGAAGTGCAAGTCCAACATCGAGGGCAAGGTGGCCTCGTACATACCCCAACTGGCCCGCATGAACCCGGAGTACTGGGGCGTGTCGGTCTGCACCATAGACGGCCAGCGCTTCAGCATAGGCGACACCAACATCCCGTTCACCCTCCAGAGCTGCAGCAAGCCCCTCACGTACGCCATAGCCCTCGAGAGGCTCGGGACCGAGGTGGTCCACCAGTACGTCGGCCAGGAGCCCTCCGGCAGGAACTTCAACGAGCTCGTGCTCGACCACAACAGTAAGCTCCCCCCCCCCCCCCATATGATTCCCTCCTGTAGCTAATTACCAACGCGGACTACAATGTAATCGTGCACAGAAAAGCCCCACAACCCGATGATCAACGCCGGGGCGATACTCGTGTGCTCGCTGTTAAAGACCCTCATCAAGCCGGAGATGACGCTGGCCGAGAAGTTTGACTTCACGATGAACTACTTCAAGCGGCTGGCAGGTGGGGAGCCCCTGGGTTTCAACAACGCCGTGTTTTTGTCGGAGCGCGAGGCCGCCGACCGGAACTACGCCCTTGGCTTCTACATGCGGGAGCACGGCTGCTACCCCGAGAAGACCAACCTACGCGAGTGCATGGATTTTTACTTCCAGGTGACCTTATCTTTTTTCACTTTACCATTACCCGGGAAACGTCTCGTCGATGTTGCTCCTCTCTTGAGATGCATTGGTTGACCGGAGGAGATGATCGTGGATACTGTTGGTCGATGGATGTGACAATCTTATGTGTTGCAGTGCTGCTCGATGGAGGCGAACTGCGAGACGATGGCCGTGATGGCGGCGACTCTGGCGAACGGTGGCATCTGCCCGATCACCGAAGAGAAGGTCCTGAGGCCCGACAGCGTCCGCGACGTGTTGAGTCTGATGCACAGCTGCGGCATGTACGACTACAGCGGCCAGTTCGCCTTCAAGGTATACATCGTACACCATCAATCTTTGGGGATTCCCTTACCGATCGCACTTCTAATTATCCATTTTGCCAAAAAAAAAAAAAAAATCAACAACAAAGGTTGGCATACCGGCGAAATCGGGAGTGTCGGGTAGCCTGTTGATGGTGATACCCAACGTGATGGGGATCTGCACGTGGTCGCCGCCCCTGGATCCTCTGGGCAACTCGTGCCGGGGCGTGCAATTTTGCGAGGAGCTGGTGGGCGAGTTCAACTTCCACCGATACGACAACCTCAAGCACGCGACCAACAAAAAGGACCCGAGGAGGCACAAGTACGAAACCAAGGGCCTGTCCATCGTCAATTTGCTCTTCAGCGCGGCCAGCGGCGACATAACGGCTCTGCGCAGGTACGGCTACCACACCCTTTATTTTTTCCCTTTTTTATGGGTGCGACATAACGTTCCGATTGCTGGATCAGTTGGTAATAATGTTTACACGCCCCGGCGCACGCGCTACACCCTCGACCGACAAACGTGTATGACATTGTATGTTGAATCCGACACCACTCGCTGACAATCCTTAAACATGTCATGCGCGTCTCTCTCGTCACCACGACACCGACGGCTATGAAATGCAAACAAAAAAACAAATCCACACAAGACACGGCATGCGAGATTACCTGGAGTGGTGAGTCGCAAAGCTTACAAACTAACGTTGCCTCACTTTTATGTTACTGCGCACGCACTTACTTTATACAATAGAGTAGACCGGCGTTCAGGGCAACTGGACAATGTTTGCTATTAGCCGTGGAAAGAAAATACTCACTCGCTCTGATGCTGATTTTTTTTTTTTTTTCTCTCTCCAGCTGCTGCAGCTTTGTTTGCTTTTAGCTTTCGGATTGCGCTTCCCAAGTGGTGTATAGACACTTGTTGCGTTTGGCGATGAGCAATTTTTTTTTTGCTTTTATCCCGTTGAATATATATGCAGAGCATATACCACTGTACTGTGATAAACCTCTTGCAGGCTTGTCAATTTTAGAGTGCATATAGTATTAATGGGGGGGGGGAGGGGAGTGAAAAATGAAAATCACTGCCCGTCCTTGTTTTTATAAATATAATATTGAAAATAATAAATAAAAAAACAAAGGCACCGGCTGAGTGGCATGGACATGACACTGTCGGACTACGACGGCCGGACTGCACTCCATCTGGCCGCTAGCGAGGGCCATCTGGACTGCGTTGAATTTCTCATCGAACAGTGCCGAGTGCCCCACGATCCCAAGGACAGGTAAGATACCTGTTCTTACTGTTCTTGGCTTCCTGTCGATTTTTCACCATTTTCTAACAGTGTTGTCAATAACTCGGACAATTGTGCAAAGATTGAAAATTAAACTTGTTGACCCTTTTTTTTTTTTTTTTTTTTTTTTTTTTTTTTTTTTTTTTTCATTGGATTTTAATACAAGTTTTCGTAAACCTCGAAACATATTCATCATCCCGATATTTATGTTCGAAACTTTAAAAACTGGAGAAATTTATCACTTGTTAGGTAGGTTATAATATATATAATCAAATCGAAAAAATTTTCCAGACTTTGTGAGTCTTATTTACTGTAGTTTCATTATTTTTCTTTTTTTTTTTTAACTAACGTAACAGCTCGCGTAAGAATTGAACTTGAAAAAAAAAAAAAATTCGAAATTAACTAAAATTCCCGAGGCCCAACCAATATTTTTGTTTTTACTTTTCCTAATCGCGTGATGAATTTGGAATTTTTTCGATTCTTTTAACTCATTAAAAAAAACATTTAAAATAATTGATTGCACACCGATGTATCGAAAGAATCTATTGCGTGGATCGTCGTTGAGATTTCTCCTCATAGATAAGTTCTAATTGAGCTAGCAAAAAGTGGTCCTGAAGAAACAATTAAAATATCAACCTCAGATTACTTTGAAGAAACGATGACTGAAAAACTGTTAAGTCCTATCTAAAGGATTGGCTGTATTAAATTAATTTTTAATTTATATTTAAAAAAATCCTAAATACAAACACGTAATTATCAATTAATTTAGTTGTATTGAACCACATACGTAATTATTATTCATTTTTTAAATGAACTTTTTTCAATTTTCAGTAATTTTTTCATAAAATAAGCGAATGATAAAAATCTAATTACTCATCATTATCAAAATCATTACTAATAATCATTTACGCATAAAGTTTAGAGATGTTTTATCAAGCATATTTTTTTTGTTTTTAGATGGGGTAACCGACCGATCGACGAGGCTGAAACCTTCGGCCATGCCCAGGTGGTCGAGTACTTGAAAAACTACGAGTCACTTCGTCAAGCCGGACTTAACAAGAATAAAAACAACAGCAATGGTAATTCTGATGACAACAACGGCTCATCCATCGATGGCGTGAAAAAAGAGACGATGGAAACAAAATCATCGCCACATCCGATAATCGACCCGTCGTCCAGCAGCAGTCAATCTTCACCCCTACCTTAAACGTCAATTCTACGTGTGTTCATTTCTTTCATGAATCTCACGATGTCGAGTGGCGTGATTAAATAAGTACGACTATTGTCCACGAAATAAGCATCAATGTTGTTTTTTTTCAGCTTCTTTGTTTATACGTTGTCAATGATTTTTTTTCTTTTTTTTTTTTTTTTTNTTTTTTTTTTTTTTTTTTTTTTTTTTTTTTTTTTTTTTTTTTTTTTTTTTTTTTTCGTAGAATAGTATTTAGCGATAAAAAATGGTACGTAAGACGTCAATTCAGCCGATTGTTTGATAGACATTTTTTTTAGACGATAGAGCGAGCGCGTGATTTACTGTGTTTTGCAACTTAGCGTCACAACGTAATTATGGTGCTCATCATTAAGGATAAGCTCGAGCCTATACGCTTGACCCTCACTTGTAATATCCGTTCTCACCGATAAAGCTTGATCCGGGCCGTCCTATAAGCGCGAAGAAAAAATAAAAAAATATCATAATCCGTTGAAAAAAAAGTATACAAAGCTTGCGCAGTTGATCGAGCTGCGAAAAGCACAAAGGCGCGATGCCAATGACAATAATTCTTCAAAGACTATAATCTCTATACGTGTACATGTAAATGTTTAAATGCTCTTTATTAAGAGATCGTTGAACCGATAAGTATTGTTGTTGAAACTGGTTTCTCTCTCTCTCCTTGGAGCAGATCTCTTGGCGAAGAGTACTTTGTTGTACGGTAGAAGCGCAAAAGTTGAAAAAAAAAAACAAAAAATCTTTTTTTCCAATAACAAATATTGTATCAAATATCAGCATGGAAATCACGTTTCATTCTCTACCTCATAAATGATTAATAAATGAAAACTTTACAAGCTGTTGGGTGAAAAAAAAAAGTACAAATTTCTTTGCTGTGCAAAACCAATCATTGATAGCGAAATGATAAATACTTTTTTTTTTTTTTTTTTTTTTTTCAAGGAGGACATCTTGAAGTTAATATTATGAATAATGTTCCTTTAAACGTATTGCGGTAGTTTGTAATCGAAAGATTTAAAAGTATTTTTAGGAATTAGTATGTACTACCTTAAATTTGCTTCCTATCTTATGTCATCGAAACTTTTTGATAATCTTTACCGTTACGATTTGAGCTAATTTTATCAGCGCACTTGAGGATTAGAGTTGCCTTTTCTTGTGACACAAGAAAATAAAGTCAATAATATTAAAAGGATAATACCTATTACTTGATCTAAATAAACTTACCGACTAAATTAACATGTTTGGATGTATTGTTACCAAGTACGAAAAAACAAATCAGAAAAATCATTAAGTGACAGATGATTGAAATTATACTTGGATACTTTATTATCGAACGATTTGGTATTATATAATGCCAATAAGTTTAATAATAATAATTATTATTTTCTAATACAAAATATTATATTATAATTTATGAGACATAAATGACAATAATTAAAAACATTTAAATTACAAAGCAATAATGAGTATTAAAAAATTTCGAAATATACGTATACATTCCGTTTGTTTGTCATTACATTTATTAACGAAAAAAAAACAACACGTCAAACATATCTTTTAGACATACAAATGCGTACTACTGTTATTCTCATAAAGTAAGCTTATTACGATGAATCCAACTGTATTATTCGTTCAATGTAAATATGTTGTTTAATAAATGTTAAATTATTCAGGGTTGATAAACACATGTTTTTTTATTCTTACATTCTCCATGAATTACTTGAAACAAAAAAAAAAAAAAATTTTCATCACAAAAATGAATTAGACTTTGTTTATCTTTTGCACTTACGAGATGATGACACGAGTGGCTAAATTTAAGCAAAAAAAGCATATGTACCGTTCGAAATTACCGTCCCAATCCACAATCAGCCTACACACAATTACTTCAATTTCAAAAAAAAAAAAAAAAAAAATCATAATAATCGCTGCACAGCACGTGCGTACGAACGCACAGATCTTGAAGTCACAAGCGCACATCGCCAATAAAGAGATCCACGAAGCCGATAGTGATACAGGCACCAGTAGGTAAGTATATGATATGCGATTGCGCAACATCCAAACCACGAGAGGACGAGAAATTCTCGCTTCGACTAGTTTTTATGTGTGCTCGGTTGCACGTTCGAGTGTCCGAAAACCCGAAAAATCATCCTCGTCGTTCGCGGTGACTCAGAGAAATTTCACGCTCTCACGGGCACGTCGGTTCAGAGCTACATACCTAGTGGTATGGGTACAGGCTAGACAGCCCAAGATTATTAATCGTACACTCGTATATGTATACACATACACCTGCCCCTTGGCAATCGTTTTTCAAACGATCCTTGCAGTCGTCGTCTCGTGCGTCAGTCAATTCGGTTTCTCGCGATCAATCACGAATACATATACTTTGTGTTTAAAAACGTTTGTTTATGAATTTACAGTAGTACAGATTCGTTATTATTGTTCGATTTAGTTGCGCCTATAGCCTTGTTCCCGCGGGCATTTGATAAAGATCGGCTTGCCGATCTCGGCGATCCACGGGGAAATCTAATTAACGTCGTTTAGCGTAGATCGGTAGTCGAGTATATTTGCTCTTCCGACTGGGCGATCGTTACGGAATATGAAGGGGATCGACAAATGAGGCCAAGCAAATCACGCGCGTGAGACTGTGCTGCTTCGGTTTTTTTCCCCGCCTCGAGGGGTTTTCCGCAAAAATATACGTGTGCAAGAACGTCGGACGGCGTTTAACTTTGCGGGGAATCCCCCTCAGCTAGTCGCATGATTATTGGTTTTTGGGAGAAGTTTGCGGCAGATTTTTTTCAACTGCTCGTAAAGGAACCTGTTTTTAGGATTTTATACCGTTAATTGGCATTTTATTGTCTGACCTCTTCCGTTACTTTGTAGCCACATCCGCTTGGACCTGTCTTTTTCTTTTCCATTAAAACGAAAGATCTTCTGTTACGTCAATCGTATGAATCACACATTTTTCGATAGTTATGTGTTTTTAGCAGACCAGCAGACGTTGTGAGTTAAAATTGTCAGACACGTATATCGTAATGTGTAGGTGCGTATGCCTTCCGGGAACTGCGATAATTGAGGGAAAAAAAAAAAATCGGTTGCACGATCGCAGCAATATTATTATGAATAATAGTTCAAAGTTTCCCAGTTGAACTGCACTGGATCACATTATAGATACTTTTGTTGTAAATATTTGCGTTAGATGAGTAGCTACGTTGTTTTGTTGATCAACTCTACGGAAGATCATTGAACAACGTTATGTAAGGTTTTTTATTTATTTTTCTCAGGTTATAGAAAATTATATATACATGCCACTGTCATAAAAAAAAAATTTTGTATAAAAAATGTTTTAATGTAACATCAAAGAAACAGTTACAAAAAAAACTTACCAAGTGGTTTTCTTTTACCTCATAAAACATTTGTGTATAAATTTTTCCCTAGGTGCTTGAGCAAGACATTTTCTCAAATAATGTTTCTCTTATTTTGTTCCAAACAAGATGGTGTGAAAAATTACATTGTAAAAAAATTATCGTCACTTGTATATTTTGGATGCAAAAATGTGTAAAGATGTAAAATTTTTAAAATAAACACTTTATGGTTCCATCCTATAAACAAGTGTATCTCAGTGTTGACGGAAAACTGCGATAAAGTTAGGAAAACATATTTTTCAATTGTCTACTCCAAGAGATCGTTCGAATCTATTAAAAATTACTTTTCATTGAAGATAATTTGCTGCTCAGATTACACAGTCATGCATGGACGAGTATTTTTTTAAAACATCGCTCATGCGTTTCCTAACTAAAAAATACATATCTAATATTACTTGTTTTTTTTTCTTCAATCAGCAGCATAGACACCTTTAGCGAAAAAAGTGATTCCCAACATTTAAACTCTCGATAAAATTTAGTACTCATTACCTGTCTCGTGAAGAAACATCTCGGTATGTAAATACGCCGATTTAATACTGCACATTGATCTTTCATAAGTAGATACCCATTCATTCATCCACAACAGACGAGTATACAAAAAAAAAAATAAAAAAATTATACCCACAAAAATCAACACAATCGCGATAGTCGTTGAACCTGACCTTGAAAAACCGGTCCTACACCGTCAATTTTAAATAAACACGACCAAAAAAGAAAGAAAGAAAGAAAGAAAGAAAAGGGGGAAACCCGAACGTCATCAGACGAGATCAGAATATCATAATGATAGCGATGATCCTTAACACGCGCACAAACTATTTGGAAGTCTGGAAGCTACTCTTACGATCCTGACGATCTTTCGACTGTAAAGGACTTCATAGAGTACAATTGAGGCTTTCGCAAGTCAGAGAAACGCGGGGCCGTAAGTACGTCATCAGAATTTGTGATTTCTCGGAAAGAGACTATTAAACGCGTTTATTTCTAACAGGGGACTTTACGCACTAGGATTTTTTTTTTTTTTTTTTTCATTCCTGTAACACATGGTGGGTGGTGATGAATATTTCTGGAGGCTGATATTGAAACCTGCATAACATCACGTACTCCAGAGGGTCAATTCTATTTATTTATTGTCGAGTAGACGAAATAGACTGGTAAGACTATTTTTTTCAGTTTTTCGGCCAAAAGCATAAAAGGTTTTATTTTTATCGTCAACAAATCACTTTGGGAAAAAAAAAATTCAAAGTCACCTATGACAGTCATTCGACATCTTACGTCAACAGCATGTATAAATTACAGCATAATAATGAAAGGAAAATAAATCACACCGACGAGTCGATTCGATTAATCCTACGACATTCTTGTGTCATCTCCTACCAGCAGAAAAAAAAAAAAAAAATTACCTGCCAACCCCATCAAAGACAATAGATACCAATCACGCGTCGATTTGGATTTTACGAGCTTTTAGTGGAAATCTAATTTACACGCACGCGAAAACTTATACATTTATAGCCGTATGATTATGCGGTGTAAAGGCGGTAGGGATTTCCTGACATAAGTGCACATCGCGTGTGAAATAGCATCATCTTCGTTTTTTCTCATTTTCACGGAGCGAGAGAGAGAGAGAGAGAAAAAAAAACCTCGCGTAAATTGCGCTTCTCTCGGAAAACACAGCTCCTACGTAGCGATGTGCGATACGTCATTACTATTTTGTCATCGAATGGCAAAATAAAAAAATAAAAACATTGTTACCAAATAAGCCAAACATTTTCGATGTTTTGAGATCATTTGTGAACAGTATTATTATATATTTTGACATATTTATGCGCACATCGCGAAGAGCAGCCTTATCATCAAGTCGAATTTATGTAATTCAAGTTCATGTCGTGTTATTAAAAATATTGTGAGCCTTGACACAAATATGATGAACTTGCTTGAGAACCTCATTCATCGAGTGATAAAATTTTACTAAATTATCCAATAATTTAACTCTTTATACAAAATTGAACTCCGTAGGGGTTATCGTCATATTTTGTTTCCTACGAAAATAAAATTCTTCTAAAAATGATGACACTCCTTTTATCGTTAAAAACAACGCATATGAATTTCAGAAGGTCTAGCTTTATAGTTTTCGAGAAATTCCATCGTAAATATTGTCGGGTCACTTGGAGGCTCCCATGAAGAGATCATCTTAAATTGGTCGCCAAAAACACGTTTTAATTTATTACAAAATCGCATGTGATCGTTTCCAATTTTAGTGATCCTTTTTTCATACGCAATTTGCCCATTTGTAATTGTTATTTTGCCCACTTTGTTGACAAAAAAAATCTAGTTCACCCTAAATGTATTGAAATGAAAGCACGTGACCAAAAAAAGGCCAATCAATGAAAGCCCCGCGATGTTTCCTGAGGCAGGTCCCATACCGATTTTTCCACTCCCACGGGGACGCACGAGGAGGAAATCCCCTCGCTTGCGGAAGCACAGGTGGAGGGAGCGATCGAGTGTCTAGGTCGTTTGATTGCTTTCGCATATATAAGATCCCGAGCGCTGGATCGGCCTCAGTCATTGCTCAATCGTTCGTCGACTCTTTCGAACGAGGTACATATATATACAAGTACATATTTATATATATATAAGTGCGGCGATCAAAGGGGAATCGTTTTGGGCCCGAGATTGCAATTGTGCTTTTGTTTCGGTGTTGTGCTGCTGTGCATACATGTATAGCAACATGAACAAGTGCTCGGTGATTATTGTGCTACTGTCGCTGACCGGCGTCCTTGCCAAGCCGCATGGTAATTCAGACATACTTCATTTTTCTCTCTTTTAATGATGCTCCGTTGAATGGATGGGTTTTATCATAAAATCTATTTGATGCGAGACAAGTCGTGTACAAATGTATTGCAAAGTGGTTGTTACGGAGAATACACGTTTTCTTAAACCTCAACAGTACTTTTACACTCGTGTTACCTAAAAAAAAATTGTATGTCCATTATTGATGTAGATTTTCTTAGAGCATTCGTTAATTGTAATTATATAAATAATAATGAAAAAATACAGTGACTACCGATCTCTGGTGTCTCGCATACATCGAATTACCGTGACATTGAAAAGTATCTGTACTCTGATGTAAATTTGACCTCGAACCAAAGAAATTATCGTCAGTTAAATATAAGATCCCAAAGGGATCATTTTTAGAAAAACTATTATGCATCAACTTTACCACAAATTTGATTATTTTTTATCAACTACGACATAAAGTTGAAATTTACTAACACTTTCCACGAACGATCGACCATCGGTCGAAATACGCGCATTCGTTACTGTAGAAACTTCAACGAGTGCCATTAATCACCCGAACATTTGAATCCTGAGATGAATTGTTTTTTAATTCTCTGGTGAGTAGTATCCAGGCATCAACCAATTAAAACAGTTGTTACTCATGATTTCCCGCAAATAACAATACTTGAAAAAAAAAGAAAAAAAAAAAAAAGAGGAAAAATCAGCAATTACCACAAATCGCCGCGGAAATTTTAGACCCAACATTATACAAACATACATATGTTATACACATTTTTAGCGATAACCCTGTGTTTCCATATCGCCGCTGATAAAAAAAAAAAAAAATAAAAAAAAATAAAAAAAAATAAAAAAAAAAAAAATAAAATCGTGCTCGTGACTGTCCCTTACAGGTCTTCTCGGACAGATACTGGAGAACCACCGACAGCGCCATGACTCGAGTCTCCTGGATCCCCTTGGGCTCTTCCACAACAAACGCCCGGGCGAGAGTAGCTACGGCGACGCGAGCGCCCACAGTAAAGCCAACGCCCTCACCGGAAGCTTCCACCTTGGAAACCTAATTGGCATATCGGGCTCCATCAGCAACGCCGAGGCCAGTGCTAACGCGAACTCCGGAGCCAGTGCCAACGCGGTGGCCAACGCCAATGCCTACGGTGGTAGTGCCAACGCCAACGCCAATGCCAATGCCGGTGCTGGCAACTATTACGGTGGACATGGCTACGGTGGACAGCAGCCTACCTATGGGGACTACGGTGGTGGACAATTTGGATCGCAGGCCAATGCCGCTGCCAATGCCAATGCTCAAGGCTCACAAGGATTCCAGCCAGGTATATACGTATGATCGGGGAGCTTGCCGATCGCCACGGGAAATATCAAAACGAGTCAAGACATCGTTGGTTACTGTGGTTCGATCTCTTCCCTTCTGTCTGTTTGCGCGCGTGTGTGCATGTTTCTGTTTTGTGTCTTTTGCTCCTCTGCTTTTATCGTGTTTTGGGACTATCTTTACCGCGTGTTCTGGATTTGTGGGACGCGACTGGTTTCTTTACTCTTTCTTTTCTTTTTTTCTTTTTTTTTTTTTCACATTTTAAAAGGGGTTCGTAACGGGCAATTTCATCACAAGGGTACTACGACGATGAAGGTGGGTTTTCAATTTTACTTGTACAATCGGTAACCATACATACCGATCGCTCTGAAAAACGATCCGATTTCAAACGAAAAAAATAAAATATCACGCTGCTGATTTATCCACTCTTCGTTGTTATCACTGTCTCTCGCACCTCTCGTTGACGCACTCGACACCAAACAACTGCATCCAGCAAATCGAAAAGAACCCGATACTCATGTGCACCCATATCTCGTTGAAATCATCACGTGTACCCACCACCGAAGGAAGCCAGCTATAACAGCTTTCTCTCTCGACCAAGTGAATAACGAGTCTCTCGCTCCACCAGTCGTCCTCATCTAAGTGTCCGCAAAGCAAAGAAAAAGATAGATCTTGGGGGTGACGTCGAGAAAAATTGTTTGAACGCAGGAGAGTACGGGCCCTCGTACTCTAACGAACCATCAGGTCCACAGTACCCGAGCGGAGGAGGTGGAGGCGGAAGTGCAACCGCTAATGCCGCAGCGATCGCCACCGCCAATGCCAACAGTGGTGGCGATGGCTCGTCAGGCTCGTACCCCATCCAGAAGCCCCAGCAGTTTGTCGACAACAACAACCTAGGCTCGGTGAACTACAACCCCGTGTCCGCACCTGCCCAGACCTCCTCGAACGCGGCTGCGAACGCAGCCGCCAACGCAGCAGCGAGTGGTGGGAGCTACCAGCAGAGGCCGAGTGTCTCGACCGGCCAGCCAAGTGGCACGATCGTCATACCGATCGAGATTGTCGGGGTACAAAAGAGGCCACATCATCATCATCACCACCACCACCATCACCGCCGACCCCAGCCCGAACCTGTGTACGCTCCACCACCACCCTACCAAGAACCCCAGCCCGTGTACGCCCCACCACCTCCTCCTCCTCCTCCTCCTAAACCACAACCGCAACAACCTTTGCCACCAGCTAGACAACCGACTATGAACACCCAGCCAATACGTATCATCGTAGTTGAGCAACCCACCAGAGGTGAGAGATAGATGGCTTTTGTTAATCATAGGAATAATCATATAGAGTTATTAATCGACTGGATTTTCATCTTTATAATGGAACGATAGCACTTTTGCTCTTTTCTGGGAATCTATAATATGATTGTACATTGACGTGGCTATGTCGCAACATGGAGGCTCTTAAAGTGCTAAATTCGTTTCTTCAATGAATTTTCATCACCTGTAGAGTTAAACAGCATCGTCAAACTTATTAAACAGCGTACGGGTAACAGCGACAACCCATCCTTGATCCCGCGTAACCCCCAGTGTCAATGTTTTTTTTTTTTTTTTCTTACAAAGCGACCAATTAAATAAAAATGTAAAATGAAGTTGTCCAATGAGAGATGTCGAGTTAGATTCAGATTCATATAGCAAAACTCCACTTGGTGTTTTTCTTTCTGTCGCGAGTATAACCCTCGGTGAATGTAAAATGGCGCAGACATGGGGCAGTTTATTCGGTGGAACAAACGCACAGAGGGACATTTATGTACAAAAACGTCAAAAGCTTATACAAAAATGAATGACAGGAAAAATGTTATCGTCCACAGGTAGTGGCTGCCACGGAGGCTGCGGACGTCCCCAGCCGAACTACAGCTCGAACCCCTTCCTGAACGGTGGTGGAAGCAACTCCGCCAACGCAAACGCAGCAGCTTCCGCCAACGCCAACTCTGGCTCATCGGGTGTTGGCTACCACGATCCCGGCTACGTCCCGGCCCCATCCTACGAAGCCCATCTACCGGTGGAAAACACCATGAATCCCTTCCTATCTGATGTTCATCAGGCCTACACCCCAGCCCCGAACCCCCAAGTGGGCTACGGTCAAGGACCGTCGTACCCTACCGGGCAGCAGACCTACGGTGGGTTCGGTAGCAACGCAGCGGCCAACGCAGCAGCCAACGCAGCCTCGAACGCCGGGGGTGTCTATCAGGTGCCCGTCAAGACTCAGACACCAAACACGGGCTCCGGGGGCTACGTCAACCAACCCAACCAGGGATACTACGGGTCCGGCAAGAACAACTACAACCAAGGGGACTTGGGCAGTGGCGTCGTCATCATCGACGAGGATGACAACCAGAGGAATAACAACAACAATTACAATTACGGACAGCAGCAGGGCTCGGGATCTGGTAGCGCCAACGCCGCGGCCGCGGCTAATGCTGGTTCCACCTCTGGAGGCTCGGGGAGCTACCAACCCAGCGTACTGCCGGTATCTACTGGATCTGGTTGTGGAGGTGGCTGCTCGGGAGGTTATGGAGGTTCGTAATCTGGTTTTTGTTTTTGAAAAGTTTGTTTCTTCGTGTTTCACGTCAACATATTTTTCTCGAATATGTTAGGACACAACAATGGCGGCAGTGGGGCCAGTAGCGCCACGGCGACAGCCAACGCAAACGCTTCGGCAAAGGGTTATGGATCGGCGAATGCCTCGGCGGCGGCGAACGCCTCGGCCAATAGGAGCGGCTTTGGAGAGGCGAAAGCCAATGCCGTTGCGACCGCTAATTCGGATACGCGTGACCGGCTCATCTTCACCCGCTAAAATAATATGTACCTACGTGTATATATATTATATATAAAAGAGACTCGCTTTCGTGTGCGAGGGGTCCGATGTTTGGTTTGCTTATGTGATAAAACGAGAAGAGGATTCGAGTGATTATAAGTGTACGCGTTACTTTTTCGGCGCTTTCGATTTGCTTCAATTTCTTTTTCATGTGCGAGTGTACAGTGTACAAGGATGAACAAATATCATAACTCCAGAGTATATCTTATAGCAGATAGATGAATGACACATGTTGAATGTATGATTAGTTTCTTCTTCTTTTTTTTTTTTTTTTTTTTTTTTTTTTTTTTTTTTTTTTTTTTTTTTTTTTTTTTTTNTTTTTTTTTTTTTTTTTTTTTTTTTTTTTTTTTTTTTTTTTTTTTGTTTTTTCTTAATTTTAATGTTAATCCATAGTAGTTGCAATTCGTAGCAGCGACTCGACAAATATTAAATTCCACATCGTAAAATATATCGTGGACCACCTTATTATTTAGTTACCTGTATAAGGATATACTAGAAGGACATTAATTTTTTCATATTCATTATGTTCTCTAAATGCATTCTCTAAATTCGTGATGATGATGGATATCTAACTGTTATGTGTATTGCGTAAGCTTAAAATTGTATTTTTTGAGAGATATTGTATTTTAGAGCAATCGTATATTTGTGATGATCGTGTGCATTTATACATATGTTATTTATTATACTGTAAAGGTAATAAAATCTTACTTCATATTTATAAGAATATTGGACTTATCATTTATTTAAACCATACATGTGATTCATACTTGAAACTATGTTGCAATTCATTCGAATCAATATTTTATAAAACTTTTATGATAGATATACGATACTTAGTGTTTTTTTTTGCAGTGAGAACCATCTTCTCTAGTCAAACAGTACTTGTCAAGGTCACAAGTAGACAATATCTACAAATGATTCGCACGTGAGAACGATTCGAACGTCAATAATTACTGAAGAATTGCTCTTACAATAACTTGAGTCATTAATTCGAGTTTTCCTCTAATTTTCTTGCTAGTGTGTAGTATCATCGTCTGACAGAGATCATCTCTGCATCGTTGATATGGAGCACTACATGACTCAAATTTTTCAAGAACGGAATTTCACATATCTTGGATTGCCGAAGAAATAATAACAGTATAAAAAAAGGGTATAACAATTACCCCAGAGTAAATAACAAAATACCGTTTTTAATTTTTTAATTTATCGTATGTGTAAAGAGTTTGGAGAAAATCTCACACTTGGCGAGTCAATCTGATTGAAGAGTATACAGCTCGCTCATTTTTTTGGGTGCTAATTACCGATGTCCTTGATTGAGTATGACAAACCACGAACATATGTATCACAACTGCACTAACTTTTGGACCTTACAGAGTATTTGTTTAAACATATATAACGTACGTTGTGAATTTTGAAAATCAATTTCCAATTGTCTTTTTAATCATTATTTTATAAAACAATGATGTTACAAAAAAAAAAAAAAAAAAATTTCCAGGAGAAACCGATGCAATGGTTGCAACAAATTTTGCAAATTTGATGTACAATTGTATTTGATAAACGGAATATTCACACATGATGCATAATGCTAATTTAATTTTTACACAGAAATTCGTTATTGGTATCAAAATAGAAAATAATTGTACCATACGTAAGTGAATGTAAATATTGACTTCACCAACTGGATTACATCACAATTCTGTATATTTTTCTAACCCAAGCAGGTTTGATTCAACTTTTTGCATAGAGGAAAATTGAGCTTAGAAAAACCCATGCGTTTTTATATTGGATTTGGAAAAAGTCCTCGAGGCTGCATAAGTAGAAGTGGCACAGTCACACATGTAAGACGCAAATATTTATTCCAAATTCCTTATTTTATTTTTATCAGGTACATTTGACACGCTACAAAGTAGCTGCTGGCAACGTTTTAGCATAATTATATTTTTCGTATTTGGAATATGACTAAGTTGTCAATAAAAATAATTGCTGACGCTTTTGAGTCACACGTTTCGAGGGAAGGTGTGAATGAATTTTTATTACGGTAGCTCACAAATAAGTCTATGAATATTACCCAACATAGTTTTTTTTTTAATATTTAATTGAACCCGTTTGACACGACATTTTTTTGCGCTTGTTCTTTCACTGCTGATAACCTTCGTAATTTTTTTTGTTTCATGCATTAATTTACCAAGGTAGAGTAACGTTAGCAACCCCAATTTGGTAAAACAGTATTAACCAGAGTCAAGATTTTAAAGTAAAATAATTTGAACCAATGGAAAAAATATGTTTTGATTAATTGTAGTACGAAAAAAAAATAGTATTAAAAAAATTTTTGCATTTATAGTTGTGTTTACAGAAGACATCGAATAGTTGGGGAAAAAGAAACTGATAATGAATGGTATACTCATACTTCGAAAATACCATGATTATCCTAATTCGATCCGATTGAAAATAATACAAAAAAGTTTCTTCTCGGACTATTTTGCAAGATTTACATATATTATACTATAAAACATTTTAAAATATTTTCTTTTTTACATTAAATTAAGTGGTTTTTTTTTTTTCAAAAAAAAACCATTTGTTTCCTCACTATTTAGAATATAGTATTGTAAAATATATTTTTCTTCTACGTGTATGAGTAGGTACAATATACTTTAGATATTTTAAGGCAACTGACTATTTATCCAAAGTTATTTTTTTCTTTTAACACGTGATGCATTGTTTATGACTGAAAAATAATTTACCCAACGCTTTGAGTGAAAAAGCATTCTCGCCCAAGTCTGCATACCAATAGCGTGAAAAATACATATTTCATATACCTTTGTAAAAGTTGGTACGGATCCGGCATACCCACATATTATACACACGTATAGGCACATATAGTTCACGGGGGTGAGGAAGCGCGTAACCTTCGATCCGCAAAAGTTGACGGCCTTGTACCCACATATGTTATTCCACACGTACGCGAGACTCATTATTCGAAGAAAACGAAACGGCGCTCGTACCACAGACTCGGTCCACTCTGGGAAGCTGTATTTTGGGCAACCGAACGACTTATGAATAATTAATTGGCTCTCTTGCATTTGCGCCCGGACTTTGTTGACCAAATCAAACTCAGGCAATTGAATTAATATACCGACGCGTGGCTCGCGCGTTTGGCAATTTTGCCACCTTATGACGTTTCCATAAAATCCACGACTCCGTAAACAATGATGCCCGGAGAAGGGGGTTATTGAAATCACTCGCGCTTTGGCGTGAATATTCACGAAAACTCCAAAACACCCCGTACGGCTGGAGAGAGGGAGTCCTAGAACCCTCGAATGCATAACGCGCTCTTGCGCCAAATGTATGTATATTGTTTTCGCAACGCGGCGACAAGCAAACAAGCAAAAGGAAGGATCATCGAAGCGACGGCCGATGTGTTTTCGCAACACACACGGCGTGGTGCCCATCGCCGACGAGAAGCCCACTGTTCGGCCTTTTGGCGTCTATATATACACACGTATGAATGGGTGAAGGGAGCGAGAGAGAGAGAGAGAGAGAGAGAGAGTTTCTCCGGAGGTATAAGAGTGCCGGGGCGCGGCGTCCTCGCGCGACTCCATCGGTGCCGGTCACCTCGGAAAAAAAGACTCGCGGGGGGGAAAAACCCCGCGCGCGTGGCGCAACTCTGGCCATTCCGGGACATTTAGCGAACGCGGGCGCGGGTAACGCGCCGGTACATTATATATAAGGCTAGGAGATCGTGTCGGTGGGGCGCGAGTGCACTTTGAATCGTCAGCGAGGGCAGTTCGGCAAGTGCGAGGATAATGACGATGTTCGGGGTTGCTCTGCTTGTCGCGTGTTCGCTGGCAATGGCTTTCGGGGATGCCGGACCACTGGGTCGGGTGCTCTTGTTGGCGTCTGACGATGACGCCAGCCGACATGACGACCCGATCACTGGTGAGTGCGAGAGTCCAGCAGGACATTATCGGTCGTTGCTTGACCGTTTTTTCTTTTTTTTTTTTTTTTTTTTTTTTTTTCAGAGCGGCATTGGTGGCCATTTTTAATACTTTGTAACCTCATCGAGAAAACATTGCTGTATTTACAAAGTTTCATCCAAAAGACCGTAAATTATATTATTATTTTGTTGGTATAGTTATTTTCAAACGGCAGCCCACGAGGTGGAACTTGCGTCAAACTAAACTTTGAGAGAAAAAAAAAAAAAACATGATGTCACCCGTGGTGGTGTTATGCAACAGAGTTAAAAGTCACATTGTTTATTTTACGATATAGCAGCGGCTCGTAAATATACATTTTTTTTCCTAATTTTTTTAGCTCAAGTGGATTTAATGGCACGGGACCTGCTCGTAATTGATTACTCAACGAACAAAGCGCGCAACGCGAACTAAAAGGAAAGTGAAAATCTTTCAACCAACATCCTTAGATTATTTTATTTTTTATTTTTTTTTTTTTTATTTTAAGTTTATTTACTGTTTTTGCTGTGTTTTATGCATTTACATATGTTATATTACACACTTCAACTTAGTAGCAAATTTATTATCATGTGTGAGATATACACTTGTAAAATCGAGAAGACGGGTCGACTTGACCGACTTGTGCAACCTAACATTTTCAACTCCGATTGCTCATCCGCGCATACTTATTAATTTACTCGAAATGAAAGATTCGTTGTTACATGGACGTCGTGACGTTAACGGGCATAATACGCTGTTGTGCAAACGATCGCAGACTTTGATACTCGGGCACACACGAATAAAGTGCCGTGTACAAAAGCTATGTCGCAAAACAAGTTTGTTTTTTTCAACAAGGTTACATTATTTGGTAAAAAATAAAATTTTTTTTTCTATACAAGATTATCAGCCACGAGTTCGTCGTTCTCCGAGTGGCGGTGAGGATTATGCGGACGAGGGTATCGACGATCCGGAAGGCCGGACTCTGCACAAGCTCAAGCGCAAGCTCAAGCCCCACAAGTTCGGGCACCATCACGGGGGATTTTTGGGCAGCTCGTATCCCTCGTTCGGTGGCTATCCAGGCTTAGGCGGTGGCTGTCGTAAATTGCACGGGTGTGGCGGAGGACACGGGTATGCTTTCATAATTTTTGTTGCCTGAAAAAAAAAAAAACGCAAATATAAAACTGTTATCCTGATCGGTAGATCGTGGGTTTCTAATAGGAATTTATGATCTTGTGGTACAACATTACATAAAAGAGCGCGTTTGAAACTTCGTGCGATTATAAATATACATGTATATTATTTCTTATTATATTATGTATAAATTAAGAGTGCGTTAAAATACGCATCAGACAATACCTTCGTAAAAAACATTATCGATTTGACGACATTTTTTCTTTATTTATATTTGCAATGCAATATATTTGAAAAATATTTTTTCCCCGGCAGACAAGTGTAACGAATTTCATGTATTAAAGTTTATTATCGAATATTTCAAAGACTGTTTTTTTTTTTTCTTTTACTTTGTATTTTCTTTCAAATTATAATGCATTGACTTAGCTGGACAAAAATTATTTTGAGTACTGTGTTGTAAGTTTCTTTTACTTTGTATTTTCTTTCAAATTATAATGCATTGATTTAGCTGGACAAAAATTATTTTGAGTACTGTGTTGTAAGTACAAAAGATCATTGGCATGAATAATTATGTATCTATTAGCAACTTTGCAATAAAAATATCGTTATAGGATCCACTTTCCAATCGAACTTACCGATCCCCGCCAAAACTCCCATACCGATCCTGCACGGTCGATACCACCGTGCACCGTATGAAACGCGCTTCCCGTGCAGCAAATTCAAAATCTCGATCCGTCGACAGATGGCACAAGCCGCACTACGGGGGAGTGGGCGGTGGAGGCCCGATCGCAGCAGCCTTTGCCGGTACCCCGGCTTACGGCGGCTGGAACCCAGGCTACGGCGGCGGCTGGAACCGGCCCAACGCCCAATCGCAATTCAGCACCTGGAACCTGGGCCCGTTCCAAGGTACCTTCGGACTCGCCCATGCTGGCTAAACTCTACGACGTGTACCATAATGGTAACTATGCGAATTTTTTCTTCCTCCCTTCATTCGAATCATACACGTGTAAGTCCATACATCACAGCAAAATGTTGAAATTTCTCGACACCAGCACATTCCGTTGACTGATTTTCAGTTTACGTCCGAGCAAATGGGTATTACATAAATTATACACGGGGCATTTCGCACCTTTGCGCAAGTTCTCTCTCCGATCTCCGATAGATCCCGTTCTATCGTTTTAACGATCTTTCTTCTCGTGATCGTTTAGACTGTTTCGTGCACGGCAATAAATCTCAAACGTCTGCATGGGGGACGTCGATCCCGAGCGTTAACATTGCATTTTTTGAGCGATGCTATTACATCGAAAGCACGTATATACGTGTGTGTGTAAAAGTTGCACCGAAAGGGTTCGGTGCGTGCGTGCATCTCGGCGCGACCGGTTTGCCTTGCGAAAACGCGCTTCTCCTTCTCTCGGGCTCTCGAGACGGGACGAGGAGGCTGATTATTATTTGAGGCTCAAGAGTTGCACGCTCTCTTCGACTCATCGTCAGAAACGTCTTTTCTCCGTGATTTTGTTGTGTTTTCGGCCCTATGAACAAGCCCGTTTTGTCCTTGCCGATTTTTCGAGTTACTTCTCGTATCGTTAGTTCAAAAACAAAAACACGCTTGTTTTTCTTCGCTAACCTTGTGGAGTCGTTAAATAGTACGCGTTTATACCCAGAGGCTACATAGCTATCGAACCGCAGCAAAGATCGCGTTGCAAAAACAAGGAAAAGTATTCAACCGATTTCTATAGAGTTGAGCACCTTTAAAAAAATCAATAAGATCAATAGATCACAACAATGTACATGTATATCTCTCTTGCCGATTTCCTTGCGCAACGCACCCAACAACTGACGCGCTTTTTTTTCCCTCGTACAAATACACACGTACCGATCTTTTTTTTGTTTTTTCCTGGTATATTACATGTTTACGCTCTCGAGTTAGCAAAATGAAATCCGTTAGGTTTCACGTTGTTTAACTTTCACCGACCGATCGACCGACACCCCCGTCCGTAAATCAGTATAGGCACCCATACACACGTGCACCCTCTTTTCCGTCCCACCTGGTCAGTATGTACATAATACGGAGCCGGTGAAACTCGCTCTAGCATATATATGTATATAACATGTACAGTGTGTAGCTGTCGATGCTGCAACTCCGCGAGAGACAGAGAAGAAAAGAAAAACCAGATGTTATTGGCGAGTGTTACGAACGAATTATATACATGTACTTATTGTATATACATATACACTGCGGAGGAGAGGCAATGGTAACAGCTTGTGTGTGTGTGTGTGCATGGGTTACGCGAATGGATTCTGCACCAGCGGGGTATCCAAGTGTTTGAAAAACCAGAGTCTTAAGTGTGTAATTAATTGTTGACGACCAAACAGTCCGTTTACTGTTTCCTCAAGTGTGTTTGGAATCGAGTGGCTAATGTTGGCGACAGAAAATAAATACTTGAGCTTATGGTTGTCAAACGCTGGTGGCAAAGGGGATATCGGTATATAGTGAGGTGTTTCAAACACATCTTACATTAATTATTCTCGTGATACGAATTTCACTGTTATCATGACGCTTACTTCGTTTTAGTCGGGCTCTTAATGAAAGCAAATCGAGTGCAATGGTACATATAGTAAAAGGTTCGATTGGATGCATCATACATCAAACAAAAAAAAAAAAACAAAAAAACCCAGAGATAAAGTGGCGATTAAATAACTGATAACCCTTGAGCATATATATATTCGTAATTTATTCCCGATGGTCTTGTTTCATTAAAAATGGTCTATCCATCAAAGCTTGTAGTCGGGGTGAACCGAGTCATTGTTAATTTTCTACACAACACCACGTTGTCATCAGTCTTGCAAAATGTAAATTCAGAGACATATACACTCATCTAACTTTGTACACGTAAAAGAGTAGGTGCAACCATACCGAACTCAAAGTCGTATATACTCTGGTGAACCGAGAGGGCCCAAAAGCTTATAGGAGACCCGAGAGTGTCTTGCAGGTATACCTGTACAATCAAGTCAACCAAGAGGGAGATAGCGATACGCCCCCACGGGCCGAAACAATAACCCGATCGGAAATCGTACCTTGGCTGTAACGGGGGCCTAGCTAGTAGTGCATTATGCCTAGCTAGGCCCCCGTTACAGCCAAGGTACGATTTCCGATCGGGAAAGCCCCCGCGCGATTTCTGCCAAAAAACCATAAACTCGACAACTCCCCCCCGGGTGCTTTTTTTTTGTTGGGCGAGGTCAACGACCCCCACGGGGCTCCTCGAAACAAAACAAATAAAATAAAAAAAGGCCCGTGTAGTGTACGAAACGCACAGCCACCTGCTGACACTCGGTCCAATCCCATCGGAGAAGAAACTGCGAGGAGACAAAACCCCCTGCGCTGAGCAGAAAATAAAGCACAGCCGGTATACATAATATATACAATGTACCGGACCGCGTCTCGTGGGTGATGGTGCGCGCAATTCTTATATATATATACAAACTCCTTCCCTTCGTCCACATATATTTATACATGCACACTCCTCCGCAGCAAAATGAACTTTACTCGGGTAAAAAAAAGAAGGAGGAGGAGGAGGAGGAGGATCATCCATACAAACGCGTGCGTGTGCACAGTGAAATTCCGTCTCTGGATATTACCTGCAACGTCCTGAGAACGAAGCAGCAGCGAAAGGGGGGGAGGAGGACGATTCTTTCCGTACCGTTTTCGTCCCTCCCGCTGCTCGAGCACTCCCCATTGTCTCTTCCTTTTATTCACACGTCCTTTCCTCTCTCTCTCTCTCTGTTCCTCCCTCCCCCTTGCAGCGGCCACCGTATAACACGTATATACATATATACACAGTGCACACAGATGCATGACATGTGTAGCGATGCGACCGAAAGAGGCATTCACCTCTTTTGCTCGTATATATAAGTATATGTGTGTATATATATATATATCTGCTGGATACATATCAGGCCCTTTCGGTCGGGGTACAATGGCCCTTCGTCCCTGTACCCATACATACATGTGTCTCTGTGTATGTATTTATTTATACATGTAGAAACGAAAAAAAAATTCCAACGCGGGACGAAGAGGGAGAGACAGGAGAGACGTAAACCCTTTCGGTGCATCAGCTCTCCTCATCCTCCACCACCTCCTCCTCCTCATCCTTTTTGCGTCTCTCTCTCTCTCTCCCCTGCATCTCATCTTCCCTTGTACCCCCCGCCCCTCCTTTTGCACGTATATATACACGAGGTGGATGAAGCTGCTCCTATGATGATGCTGCAGGTTCTTTGCTCTCCCTGGTTGTATATATATATATATATATACAGGTATACGTCGTGTATGTAAGTGCATACGATGTATGGTGCAGTGGACGCGAGAGATTTTAAATAAACATATATAAAAAGGAGGGGGAGAGCGAATAAGGACTCGGCATCAGACATAATAGCAGTGGGTATGTATACATGTATATATACAGCGGCGGCAGTCCTCGTTATTATAATTTAGGAGCATTGCACCCTTGGATGGACCCCGATAGGCCTTTTTTGGTTTTTTTTTTTTTTTCATTTCTTTCCAAGTTGTGCATTTTTATTACCACCACCACCACCATTGCAGTGAGTTGGCAAAAGGAGTATGAAAGAGTGGGTATATGCATATATATAAATATGGTATTGCAACGGCACGGAAGTGATCGTTGCTTTTCTTCTTTGTGCAGCGGCTTTTTCATGCACGACTCGCATGCAGTCTACGTATATAATTTTTATACATGTGTGTAAGTATTTATAGGTAAAGGTATGCGAATGAACGACTCTATATATGCACAAAATCCACGTATGATATATTATATCGTGGTGAGATTTTTTTTTTTTTTTTTTTTTCTTTTTTAACGCGTGGGGGTTATTCAGCACATCTCTTTTACGATACAGAGGTAAGTAGTAAGTAAGTATCCTTAAATGAAACATCGCGTGTGTGATCAGTTGGAGATGTAATATGCATCAATGGCGTTGTGTGTACGAGCGTTTGAGCGTGTGTTTGTGTGAAGGGCTGGACTCATATATGCGTGTATCGTGGACAGGACGATGATGATGACAGTATAATGTGCAAGAGAGAGCAAGCGATTCGGGTCAATGATCCCGAAAACGGAAACAACCGAGCTGTTTCACACGGACGTTTGGATTTTTTTTTTTTTTTCCCTTTTTGTTCTCATTTCTCGTCCTTTTTTTCCCCGACAGCCTTTGTGCGCACCATTGTACACGCGGATATGGGTGTATGACGATAAATTGACATCTCGTCGCACTGCATGCACTTTGGTACCCTATAAGTACTAAAGTTTTTTTTTTTTTTTTTCTTGACGAGTGAGAAAAGGACTAAATGGATAATGCAAATGATCCCAGAGCTCAACGGACTCTGGATTTTTGTCCCAAAGTGTCGGTGAAAATTACAAAAAATTTCATCTCGACTCGTAAAAGCCGTTTAAAAGTAAGATTCGACATGAACCCGTATGAACCTAAGCCTTACAAAAAGCTTCTTCGGTCAATCGGCTCCTGACAACTGATGAGTCTCCTAGTCCCTTTGGGATTGCCATTGTCGTACACACGCTCGAGCGATGCCTTGTATACCCCCTTCTGGCTAAATAAGAAGAAAAAAGTAGAAACGTAAAAATGGTCCCTTTCCAGGGACGAGCGTTACACGTATTCGGACAATAAAGCACGCCGATGCCGAAAAGAGTCCCATCGGCAATCACGGCTCGTTGGGCGTGCAAATATACACCTCTAATTGCATCATTCGCATCGCGAGGCTTGTGGCCAATGAGGGAGACGAGTCGTTGCTAATCGTCGCATATACACTTACAGCTGAATCACGAAAAAAAAAAAAAAAAAAAAAAAAGGGGGGGAGATAGAGTACTTTGGACAAATCTTGGTACAGAGAGAGAGAGAGAGAGAGAGCGCATCGGGGAGATACCCGTGTGTGTCCACTTGGGTGTGCGGTGAGAAAGCGAGTTGTTACGGAGAGCGAAAATGTAAATGCGCGCGCGTCCAGGTGACGAGTCCCGACTGTCTGGCGAGAACTGCGAAAGAGGAGGAAGGAGGGAAAAAAAGCCAATGGCCTATGGGCGCAGGGCACTTGGACATTTATTCCCAAGATATGGTGTGTGCCTATACTCGTGTGCTTTTCAGCTCAAATCGTCTGACCGATGTTACTTATATACGTTTGTTCGTTTTGATCGGTAAATCGGTAAGGGCATATATTTATGCCATATCCGAAAATGTGACGCGGACCATCTCATTTTTCCATCATTTTTGGTAGCCCAATATGTCTTCAATGCCGGTCAAAGTCACGAAGGTATACAAGTCTTTGAAAGGCTTCGGGACGCAAGCTTGAGACTTTAATCTTCGTCGCTCGCGTATGAAGAGAAAGAAAGGAACAACGGAGGGTTCAAAGGGGGGTGTAAGTCCGATCATCGTCGTGAACGCGCTTACGTGATTCCTCTAATTATCCGCGATTCTCCCCAGCCGGTCCGACACGAGGGAAGATAAAAGAGCCACAAACCGGTTGCTCTCTCTTGCGCGCGCACAACTCGAAATCGACGCGACTTTGTCCAAACAAGTTTCCAGGATTAATTTTAACCCCTTAAGAGATCTCCGATTGTAATTATACAAAAAAAAAAAAAAAAAAAAAGAAGGAAAGAAAAACATGATCGTCAGTACACAGTAATCACATAAGACACATAGAGTTTTGCCAAGTGGAAAATGTAAAATAGGATTCTTTTTATAAACAAATATCAATATTGTCGTATAATTTGGGTGTTTCAGATGACGTCGAAGAGGAGTTAGAGCCAAACTGTAAAGAAATCAACGATTGAACAAAATGTAGCAAGTGAAGAGTATACAATAGGTACAGGGTTGTAAAGATAGTGTGTATGTTTGTAAATAGAGATGGGATGGAGGCCATACGTATATATATGTATATTTTGTATGCACGTATATAAGCGCAAAGTAAAACTCTCGCTGTTGCGAGAGGAAGGAGGAAGGATCGGCCACCCTCGTCCGAAAGTGCGGGAGAGTTGTTCTTTGTTGGCGTGTCGGTGAGCTGCACCAGATGTTCCTCCGGTGAGGGCAAAAACCGGTAAAAATAATCGCAAAGGTAGGAGGAAGGAGAGAGAAAGAGAAGGGAAACAAAGATTAAGTTTGAGAGTAAGTACACGTATATCATACTATATATACATTATGTACACCGAGGTGCGATTTATTATTATCATCATTGTCGTCATCACGCTGTTCTCCGTGGATTTTCATTTGTCAAAATATGATTACAATTAATACCTATACATAGCGCGCGATTTTTCCTTTGTGTAACAATATTGTCCAATAAACACGTGTAACATCAAGCATTTTTTCTTTTTTCTTTTTTTCTTTTTTCATAATTCGTATACATTTCCTCGATAGAGCATCAGTATAAGATCTTGGATCGGTATATATGCAAGAGTGAGTATAATTATGATGTGTGTGTATTTTGAAGCTCTGCAGCAAATCGAGAAAGCCACATACTTACATACGAGTCACGGTAAGAGGAGGAGGAGGAGGAGGAGGAGGAATAATGAAAAAGAGACAAGAGGAGGAGAGCCGAGAGAGGTATAGAGGAGTAAGTATATACATGTATGGTAAAAGTAAGTATATTGCCCCGAAAGCCGAGTGGACGCATATACGGATAGGTGTGCTTTATAGAAAAAAAAAAAAAAAAAAAAAAAAAAGCGGCTCGGGCGGAGGTGGCTGGAGAGAGGATCGAGAAGGAGGAGGCGAGGGCACAAAGAGAGGAGGCGCTGCGCGTGGAAGGGATGCTGTTGCAGAAAAGAAGGAGAGTATATACAGAGAATGGACCCGAGAGCGCGCGAAAGGGAAGACAAAAAACGAAAAGAAAAAAAAAAAAAAAAAAAAAAGGAGCGTGGTTCTGCCTGCGTGCAATGACCGCCAGCACGCGATCTTCTTCGCTCGCTGGAGGCGAAGTTTCTTCTTCTTCGCGGATTCTTGGCCGAATACACGCGCGTAATTTTCGTCGAAGGGAGGTGGGGGGAAGACTCCGCGTAAGTACAGAGGCGCGTTTGTTTAAGATGAGTTTATCGCTACGCGCGTGGCCTTTGTTTATTTTTAAGCTTTGCAAATGATGAAACGCGTTGGTGTGAATATTAATTTTTACTGGATAAATGACTGAGAGGGTTGATGCAAAAGGGGAAATAAAAGATGTACGGTCGATCGTTGCAGCGAAGGGATTCCTTAATCCTGCGGGCAGTCGGGCTCGGGGCAAACAAATCTTAAATGGGATTTAACGAGAAAAACATTATTCAGGTTTTCGTTGAACGGCCGGTTACGCTGCAAGCGTGTGTGTGTGTACCCAGCACTTCTCAATGGACAATGAGGCTCGAAACTCGCGCGTACAATGGAAGCTGGGCAAATAAATCTCGGGTCAATGAATGTTATATTATTATACGGGAGGGTCTTTTTCTCTCGACGGTTCGCAAGCCCAAGTGTTTTTTTTTTTTTTTTTTTTTTTGCTTCATCGAAAAATCCTGATTCATGCCGATTTTTTAATTGGGATGCCGAAACTTTACTCCGAGATTTTTCTGATCCAGGTGTATCTTCAGTCATGTATTCGGGGGATCGCGAAATACAGCCATGCGAGGTGTGACACGTCTCTGTTTTTCAATATTATTTTGTATCGATTTTTACGTAATACATTTATGCTTTTTTCTTCAAAAGGTACAGAATTACAACAAGTTTATATGCAACTATATGATTCATTGGTTGCTCAAGTATATACGTAAAACAACACATCTCGATTCACTTGTCGGCGCATAAAATTAGAGAAATAAAGAAACGAAAGTAAATGATTCCTGTCTGTTAAAATAGTAGATAACTAAATATTATTGCTGACACGAGTATTAAAAAAAAAGAAAATCTTTTTATATACTCTTTCGATGAAAACACCTGCGCTCTATACTTAATATGGGTTAATGTACGCGTGTCGCAACATTGCCGAGCACAAAAATCTCAACACTTCTTATCTCAAGAGAGGGATCGAGCCCATTCACCTCCGTCATCTTCTTTTATGGTATGTATGAGTGGGTTTTCGCCTTGCAAAATAATATATATATAGTTACACCGTCCAAGGGTGCCCATGAGGATGTACGTGAATGCGAGGAATAATTGAAATTTCGTGAAAAGTCCCAAGAGAGAGAGGAGGATGGCGATGCTGATAAATCATCACGTAGGGGCGGTCAAGGAGATCTGCAACCCTTAAAAAATGAAGAAGAAAAAAAAAACCGGGGCAAAGGGAAAACGAGACGGCGATGGGAGGGAAGGAGGAGAGTAGACATCACAGAAGAATATTTCACACGTCGCGAGAAAAGGGCCAATTGTTTTTCCTTGACTCGTCCCTTTGTCCGCGAATTAGCATAATTTTTGCCAGTCAGGACACCTCTCTCCCTCTCTCTCCCCTCTCTTCTTACTCTCGTCCGAAGCGCTGAGAGAAAACCAGTATATATCCCTAAGAGGAGAGGCTGTGCAAAAAGGGGGAAAACATTTTTTTTTTTTTTTTTTTTTTTCTCGAGAAACGGAGATGGAGAGAAAGCGGTCCGTCCGGCTGCTGTTGTGCAGTACCTGTCAAGAGAAAGGGAATAGGGGGAGGGTTTGTGAACCCTTTCGGTGTACCGGAGATTCGCGCACTCGCTCATGCTGGTATTACGTGTACAGGAGAGCTACTGTAGCTTCTTCTTCTTCTTCCAAAGGCTGACTGATCCCTCATATGGTGTGCCAATGTTTCTTTGTTGCTTGGAAATTCTTTCATCTTTGAAAATTCTTTTGTCGTCTAATCCGTACATAAAACTTGGATTATTACCAAACGTCATTATTTATCACGGTGTCTGTTAAGTCCGTGCAGACTTGCTCGCGGATACTTTTTCAATTTTTTTTTTTTTTTCAATTTTTTGCTGAAAATGAGTTTAAAGGGTTTGATGGAGTATGATAAAATTTAATTTCCCATACTTAACCATTAACTGTGTTTGCAGTTATATGTTGGAAAAAATTTTTTTTCAATATTGTATGATTTTTTTTAAGCAAAAAAAATGTGCTGGGTTTAGAAAAAAAATTTTTTTTTACAAGTGTTTGAAAATCTAAAAAATAATTGTGCACTAAATAGTTTGGTGACTTACGCTTTTATCAATTGTGAGTATATACATTGTTAATAAATTTATAAATGTTTTAATTGTGACTTTAAAAGTAGTTGTACTTTCCATCTACAGTTGAACCGAAAAGTTCAAAGAGTGTATCTATTTGTCTTCCAACTTACAAGAGTTCATCGTCTCTACAATTAAGTAGAGACAGACAATTAATGTAAGACCAGTCATCGACGTAAAACCATTATTTTATTGGCTCTGGGTATNAGAAAAAACAAACAATCAACCACATGCCGTAAGAGGTTAAATGTATTTTTAGAGAAAATTATAATTAACGACTTGATATAAAAATAGAATTATTTTTTCCGAGTAGAATTTCTCATTAATGACTAATTTCCAATCGGTTTAAACTCCGAAATGATGTACAGCGATAATACGTTAAATGTATCTACGAATATTACTTTTCGGAATTTTGACCTAATATCGGTAAATTAGTTACTAATGACAGATCGTAATCGGAAAAAAATAATTTGGTTTTTATTTGGTTATTAATGGAAGACCTCTGAATTTTATATTTTTCTTTCAAAGGACACCCACTCGCTTTTGGAAAGCGAATCAATTATTTTTTATCTTTATTTTAATCGCATCATTAAATTGGTTCAATAAATTTTAATATTATCCTTTGTACTCTCACAACAACATAAGATTAAACGACGAGTCGATTATCCTAAAAACAATTATTCTTCTTTTTCCTCGGAAACCATTGTTTTAAAAATAATAATATATCCTCATAAGTATCAGCGTCAACTAAAATAGTGTTACTATTGAAGACACATTTACACGGGCAAACATGGATATGTTCGCACAGCATGGAAGAAAAAAAAAAAAAAAAAAAAAAAATACGTGTGCAAAAAGACAAACCCCCTCTTCCTGCACAAATATCCTCTCGTACCACCAGTACCACCACCAAAGAGCGTACCTAAGACCCTGCACCAGGATTCGATGAGGAAGAGGCCCATCACACGAATTACACTTACCCATTGATACTCACACACGCGCGCGTACATAAAAGCCAGAGAGAGCCCCACCTTATATTGTCCTCCTCCTCTCTGGGCTCTTTTTACGCGTCACCCGTCTCGTTTTCACTCGCAGGGCTCGTATACGTGCACCCATAAGAGGAGGAGGAGGTCGCTGCATATCGCAAGGGGAGTAAGTATAAGCACGGGAGAAAGAGACCGGGAGGAGGCGCGGACCGCGAAGGCTCGAAGGCTGCCGCTCGGCCACTCGCGCTCGCATTTCTCGTGCGGTTGTCGGCTCGGAAAGTATCCTCGCTTGCGGGATATTGTCGGTAAGTGCCGAGAGAACACACTCAACCATTAACATCCTCGCGTCTGTCCACGTATACCCACAATTTTGTCACTCCGTCCAATTATAGTTTGGCCCCTTGGATCTTTTACGATTTTTTTTTCTCTTTTTTCTTTTTTCTTCTTTTTTTTTTGGTTTTTTTTTTTTTTTTTTTCGCTTGGCTTTACACTCCGAGAGGAGCAATAGTTTTTCGAGGGGCTCGTCCTTTGTGGTCCAGAGCCGAGTTCTTTGTCCCTCGTACGGCAATGTCTACGCTGTTGTTGTTGCTTAACTGATTTTACATTACACGGTAAGGCGAATTTTCAATCACTATTCGACGCGGATCCGGAGCTTTCAAGCTTTTGATAAGTATTGCCTAATTTTATTTTATTTGTTTATTTTTTTTTATTTTTTTTTTTTTGAGCATTCGATCAATGGAAAAACAATTTTTCAATAAGCAACATATTTACGTTCATGTCTAATATCCCTATCGCTCGACAATCGCTAAATCTTTCTGGAACACGAGCGAAAGTATCATTTCATGGCAGCGACGACCTTCGCTCGTTCGATTCTAGATCGGTAGCGGTGATCGATCCTATTACCGGGGGGCTCTGAGCGATAGATACAAAAATAACTACAAATTCACGAGTATAGTGTAATTCACAAATAAAAAAATTTTCAATGTTTAAATCAGTGTACGTTTTGATAGATTTAAGATGTAATTAACAAAACATGCGTAAATATGTATATATATATAATTCTTTTTTCTGCTCGATAATCTATTATAATTATTAATCACTGATTTTTAATGCAGAAAAATATAAAAGTGTAACGAGGTTTATTAAATGACAGATATTGACTAAAGTTACCTTTAAATAATGAAATACAGTATAATATTACGTATTTAATTTCGAAAAATTGTTATTATTATTTACAAGACCAATGATACAGCTATTTACCCTGTACTGACTCCTTAAATGAATTTTTTTTCAAACGAATAAAAAAAACAATTGCTTCCCCCCAACACATAGATAAAAGATACAATGGTCCCTAAAAAATTTGTGCAACCTTTTCCAAACGTGCGTCGCGTATCATTGGACCTCCCGCCACCGTGAGAACCTCGTAGCCTCGCACCTACGATACCTAAGTATACAATTTCGCAACGAAAAATTCGACTCGGTTGTACTGCAATATACCTCTCGTTCTCGTGCACTAGTGCTATCGCTTTTTTCGTATCTCTAGAAAATTGCCAGCAGCTCTTTTTATCGTTCGTTGAGGTACTGCTTATTAAAATTATATGGGCCATTTCAAAAACAAATATAACAATCAGGGGTTCCTTTGTGCCGCTGAAAGTTAAGCCTATTACTTATCTCAACGTTCGCACAAATGTCTTTCTTGCACCAAACATACTAGATTATGTGCTCAATAAAATTGTACATTTTTTATTTCGCACCTCAGCAGAAAGTAGGTCTGTCTTCCCATTGTGCGGATGGAAAACCTCACTTTCTATAAATAAGGCCTAATTTAAAAAACCGTGTGTGCACCATTGGAAAAAAAAAACGGCAAATATCTTTTCTTTTTTTTTTACTACCTCTGTGGTAACCCTTGACCTTTATTTACCAATACCAAATATCAACCCATGAACCCTGTTCAAATTTCCCTGGCTCATCTATTGCGACTCTATTTTCACTAGAGCAACCGTATCTTAACTGAGCTAAGACGTACGCTAAAATAAAGAATCTCGAATCACATTATTATTGGGGACATGCGGTCTGAGAAGGAGAACAGCCGTAGCTTAGACTACTACTATAAGGCGTACGTCTCAGCTCAGTTAAGATGCGGTTGCTCTCATTGTCCAACCGTATGTCCCCAATAATAATGTGGTTTGAGACTCTTTTTTTTTTTTTTTTATTACTTTTCGGGATACATTTATAATTTTTTTTTTTTTTTTCCACCCATTGTAGTTATGAAATCTGTTTAAAAATTTTGCTTGAAAAAGGCCCAGATACTCCGAGACATGAAACACCGTACAGTAATCGATTCTTTTTTTTCTTGTTCCCACAGAAATTGTTGTTTGGCTCGGGAAAGCTGGAGCGCAAAATTATCGTTTGGCTGTAAGCGAAATCAAAAACCAACTACAAAAAAAACAAAAAAAAAAAAAAACAAACAAACGTATTCTCAATGATTTGTTAAGGGTGACTCAGCCGACGACGTACGAGCAGGTGAAGCGAGTGATGCGCACAGCGGCCACCGGGGAGCTCAAGGGCGTCCTTAATTATACGGAAGACGACTGTGTCTCGACCGATTTCAATTGCACGCCCTACTCGTGCACTTTCGATGCGAAAGCTGCGATTCCGCTCACCAGTACTTTCGTCAAAGTTGTCGCCTGGTAATTATATTTTTGACGCCCAATCGCATATGCTGATCTCGGTTCATTGTGATACCGAGGTGTCCTTGTACAATCTGACGAAATAGTTCAGCAAAGATGCAGATTTTTCTGATTCAAATACATTCAAGGGTACATTCCAACATGTCAGTAAAATGTGTCAGGATGACAGATACTGGAAGTACTTTTTAATATGAAGTGCCAAGTGTATATAATGACCCAAAGTCATTCAAAGCTCCAGACAGTATTTAGATGACTTTTGCGTTTAAAAACTAAGACTCATCTTCAAATGTAACGAGTTTTAAGTTTTTGATGGTTGTCAATGATTTATCGATTTTGANTATATACAGGTATACGTCGTGTATGTAAGTGCATACGATGTATGGTGCAGTGGACGCGAGAGATTTTAAATAAACATATATAAAAAGGAGGGGGAGAGCGAATAAGGACTCGGCATCAGACATAATAGCAGTGGGTATGTATACATGTATATATACAGCGGCGGCAGTCCTCGTTATTATAATTTAGGAGCATTGCACCCTTGGATGGACCCCGATAGGCCTTTTTTGGTTTTTTTTTTTTTTTTTTTTTTTTTTTTTTTTTTTTTTTTCCAAAAAAAAAAAAAAAAAAAAAAAAAACTTTTTTAAAGTAACTAAATTACCAAAAAAATTCAATTGTGGTAAACGATCATTAGAATTGTATATAACACACTTGGGAAAATTGAGTGAAATATGCATGCGTATATTCTCATGTGAAAAACGTATTTAAGATTTTACCTATTTTTTTATCCATAAAATAGAAATTTTTCATCAAAGAATGGATAGTTAGTTATTCCCAATACGGAGAAACTACCATTTTCAAAACAGGAATTATGTTAAAAAAAATTTTTAAATGATTTATTGCAATATTTAGGATCAAAGTAAAAATTTTGCTCACAAGTTACTTAGTAGTGCCACTTCAGCTGTAGGAGAGCCAAACAACGTGTTTGCACGGAAGTTACACTTTTTCAGTACATAGGTACGATTCTTTTATTTCCTCGGAAGGAAATGAATAAATTAGCCTTTAAAAGCAGCGATAAATTCGTATTAATTTTGGTTGCATTATGAGAAATTATTACTATCAAAAAACATAAGGATTAAATTAACATGTAACAGACCCTAGATTGTGTATTATACTCACGATAAAACTCTTATTTAATTCGGTTCTTGGTATGTATATAAAATTTATACACGATTTCATATTTTTCCTTTGCTAGAGATAGTACTAGTCTTTGATAAGAGGTGGTATAAAATATGTTTCAAAAAACTCTGATACCAACGCAATGTACACAAATTATTAACTTTGTCGTCTTGGATGTGTAATGTACTATAATACTTGAAGCAACTACAGTTCCTCCGTTGAGCTCATAACTTTTTTATCGTGGAAACAAAACGAGATAAAAAAAAAAAAAAATTGTTTTAACTTATCCAAACTTTTGTTCGTTACTTCAACTAAATCGTTATTTTTCAGGCCCTTAAAAAGAACCAAAAGGGGTTATGGCAAGTAAACAAGGACAACCGCACGACCTCTCAGCCTCATCTGTGATCACACGTTTCGGACTGACCTTTGGACTTCAGCTGGTTACCAAAATTGAAATAAAAATTCTTCTGTGTCATAACAATAACAAGATAAATGTGTTTTATTTTTCCCATATCCCTGTACACGCATCTATTTGATCCTTCCTCTAACCGCCGGTCTTTGCAGATATGAACGATCAGCGTTCGTATGTATCACAGTCCAAAAAGTACGATAAAATTTTTTATACATATTTAAGATACAAAACGTATGAAAAAAAAAAAATTCCATGAATATTAAAATTGAACAGATAATAATTTTAAAAAAAGTTTTAGTATCTTCTACAAGAAAACAAGAGTTTTTCTGTGTGTACATAACATGTATGTTATTCACCAAATTTTATATTTTATTTAGATACTGAAATCTCTTCATTGCCTGAAATAGAAGTTCTTATCATAAAACAAGTTATTTATTATTCTAATGATTTCTAATCTGCTTAAAAATTATTAAATCACATTGACAAGCGTTAAAACTACCGACTGAATTTGTCATGAAATATTTTTAATATAAAAAAGTTCTAAGGAATTCACTTCATTAATCTATAAATAAAATCTTTGCTCGATTTAATTTTATAATTCTAAAGTGGATTTAAAAATCATTAAGACGGCTAAAATAAATTGTCTTAAAAACGTTGAAAGTTTCGTGTTGTTTAAATAAAAAATCAAAATATCATCACGTGTTCATTTAATTTATTTGGTTTTTTTATGAAGATTTTTATTAAAGGCTACAATAGAGGAATTCCAGTGAGTGAATAATTAAAAAATAAAATTTAAGAAGTAATGACCATCCCATTGTGTAAATAAGTCAATTGGATACGATAACTATAACATTTATTTTTTAACCAAATCGTTCACAAAAATTTCCCAGCGTCTATTCCAAATCTCTTTGGCTTTTTTCTTCTGCACTACATTCATACTCGAGTACTCGATCGAATTGAGCGCGAGTTTCTTCAAAGCCCTGAGATCAGCACTTCGAGACATTATCCCGACAAAGGCTTCGTAGAAATCGTAACTGAGACCTTTAGCTCCCCACATAAGAGGATCGTCATTTGACACCACGACCGGGTAATTGTTGGCAAAAAGTGCAGCTGCCGGATGGTTGCGGAGGTCCTTGACCAGACCCAGGACTTGATTGGAAATCGGCGACACCTCGATCGCTATGCTCTTGTCGCGCACCATTTCCATGACCTTCGGGTGCTTTAGCAGCGCAAACCTCCAAATGGAACAATCACATGTTACCACATCTACATCTGATGGGGCAAAGAAAAAAAAAAATAGTCACCCGTGGCCGATCCTTTTGGTGTTGAGCAAAACAGCGTCGACGAGATTTTCATCCACACTCGTCCCGTACCAGTTGGTCTCGCCGGAGTGGAAGAACAGCTGGACATCGTTGCCGATCGAGCGCAGCCCCTCGGCAAACTCCACAAGGGGTTTGCCTTTGTCCTCCTGGCCGACGAGATCGAATCCGGCTATGAAGTCCGGGAGTTCTCTTTTCAACTCCTTGGTTATTGTCAAAAACCCATCCAATTCGTCTTTATTGCATCTACGCGATGCAGGAATGATAACCTTCACTCCAACAAAGTCTTGATGATCATTTATGAATCTAAAAAAAAAGTAAAATACACTGTAACCCTAATGGTTCAACTATTGGGACTTGTTTAACAACATGTAACAGAGCCATTACAATATAACGATCCACTTACCGATCAACAACATTTTTAGTGATTCTCACTATCTCCATTTCATTGTACGTCGTACCATTGAGTTCATACAAACCAATTGGAAACATACGTAGTTCCACGTACCAAATGTTGTCGTTATACGAATCCAAAAGTCCTTGATAAATCATTTCCTCGTAAGCTGGCCTGTAGTTGAATAATGGTCTAATAAAAACAAAAATCGATATAAACTTGTCCCAAACAGCATCATTGGACGACTAAGCTGATTTCAGATCGTCAATTGTAATAACTAGGTTTCGCTTGATTCTGCTGTCAACGTTTTTATCAACTTTGCGGATTTCGCTGAGAAGTTGCCATTGACACTCGTTGCTAGGTCTCTCGAAAAATTTAAGTCTCATACTGCCACCGTTTTCACAAATTTACAGGTGTGGCAGGTACGTGTGATTTTTTACAGAATAGAGTCCCAGGAGGCAAAAACTGAGCTGTGGGCATGGAGGATCGCGCCCTTTGGCATTTTTTGGATGATCTTAAAGACTAGAGATTCCCTAATTTTCTCAGCTACTTGGACAAAGTTTTGAGCCGGCAAGAACTTGGACGAATCTGTCAAAACTGTGAAAAAATTGTTTATTATTTTATTTTACAACACACGAGCGAACGAAACCTTGAATTTCATAAAAACCTGTATCTATCTCTCGGTGTTTGGCCTCCATCAAAATTTTATTAGCCCTCTCCTCTTGATCACTTAATACGAGATGACTGCCTAACATTAAGTTGAACTCATTCCTCGTAATTTCTTCTCGCACCTTCATGTAATCCTCAAACGAACTGAATGCGTGACAATACATATTTGCTATCAGTATGTGAATTACCAACAGTAACATTAATGGTCCCTCAATGCTTATTTGGTTCTTCAAAATTTTTTTTCTAAAAGCAAAACGAAAAGGTGAAAGTTTCCTAGCCACGAAGAAAGTACTTGTGAAAATATGTAAGTAAAAGTATGAAAAATTCATTAGCCAACAATGTACGCGTATTCTTAAAAAATAGCCATCAATTATTTACTTTACTCCTGATCGTGCTACAGCAATTATAAATACTTACCTATATCAGTGCATATTACAAATATATATTTTTTGAAAACTTGTTGAGGTAATAAAGATTTATTGTAATTTTAACTAACTTATATTGTTCATTGCACTATTCACATGGAGTTGACGTTGATATGTATGATGTAAGTTTACGTCATAGGAGAGAATAAATAAATACTTTTGACAAGTCGAAGCATAAATAAATCTCTAATTAATTTTTTTTTTTTTTTCATTTTTTTGCACATATAAAATACGAAAATTTTTAGAGTTAACTAGAGACCAAAAGGTATTCTTCAACTTTGAATAACGCATAAATTTAGGACACCCCAGCTATTAGTTGTCCATTGTCAACTAATAAATATTCACATTATATTATATGAGCAGTTTAATTGAGCGAAAAATAAGTGACAATAGAAATTTGATGCCTTACCTAAATCACTTAATCATAAACTGAATGTGTATAAAACTATTGAAATTAAATCATTAATATCGTTATACTTACAGCATGTTCCAACAGGTGAGTACAAATGACTTAGGTTGCATTTATACTGCTCATAAAAGCTTTAAGAAAGAATATTCTGAAGCGTACGTAGGTACCTCCAAAATGACGCATTTCGGTAAAACTACGTCTGTTGTATCCTCGAATCACTCTTTCGTCATTGGTTGGCCAAAGTGCCATTAAAAATACTTATAGATAATGCTAATAGTTTTTTAAACTATGGTTCGATATACGTAATATAATATATATATATATTTATATGCTGCTGAGTCATGTCAGAATACTAAATAAAGGAAAATTTCTCTATCAGGTTTTAAATACATGTACAGCGTAACGGTTTAAGGTAGTTGTACAGGTACCGCAAGAGTCATGAAACTTTTTGATTTGTGTAGTAGAACGATCTGGCAACGTCGCTTTGCGGTCATGTGTGTGTGCCTGTAAGTGTGTGTTCAGAGCATCATAGAAGGAGCACTTCGTTGATCAGCTGTAGCAAAAGGAGAAGCGTGTGTATCTTTTTTTTAGTTAATAAAATAGTCATGCCCAAAGAAAAAAATAAGAAGTTTTTTTGGAAAGGTGTAAGGGTAAGCGAGAAAGTATATAATGCACGAGTAACTAAAAATAATAAAGTTAAAAATAGGCTATTTAATTATTTAAAAAATAAATATTAAATATTTATTACATAAATATTAATTTATAACATGTTTATTTCATTTTTAAGTAATATATGGCAATAAAATTGTTTTGATGTTCTTTGTATATCAGTTCGTTTTATTATTTATATATTTATTTATCATATTTATTTAAAATATACGTCCTATAACAATAATTGAAAATCTATAAGAGAGATTGCAGTAATCAGGATTTACGAGCAATCATATGTACCTATTTACCTTTCAAACCGCGCGCGTAATATCAGATTATGCGGCGTTGCCATATTTTCAAATAGCGTCTCACAAATGCACGTTCTTCACGCTTTACTATTTAATTACTTTTCTCACAAGTACCCTTGGAAGGTTTTGAAAGCGAATATATAATTGTCATTTAATTATCTTTCTACTGTCCAAAGGGCATCAGAACCTATCCTATATTAGCAACGATATGAATGATAATATACAGACAGCTCCGCGGTTTCCCATAAGACGCCATGTTGAATTGGCATGTAAACAAAAACTCAAGGCATGCAAATAATTATGAATATCTCCCTTTATAGGTACCCTCGGGTCACAAAAATTTAGATTTCTTATTTTTATGCATTAATCTACCNATTTCAGGGCCAGACATTGTCAAGTTACGTTCGTTTGATTCATACGTGTGTGTGTATATACTATATACAATATTTGTGTACATTTTTATACACGTGTGTCTATATTTATATATTGGTGTATGAATTCTCGGTAAAAGAAGTGACGGTGATACATATGATACGTGATGGAAAATCCAAATTCGTTGGGGAATGTAGGGTATACGAGTGTATATTGCGTTGAAATGATCCATCGGTAGAGTTTGTTTTTTCACCATCGTTTATTCATTTCGGTAAAAATGCTCGACACCTTTAGAATATGATCCATACACTTGGTAAATCTATTTTAGTTATTTCCAAGGCCATAATGATTAATTTTAAGTGAAATATTTGATCAATTTTTTTATATTGTTTCTACAACAATATACTTTATTCTACAATTCATATGTTTGTATTGGAAACGTTAACTAAGTTAAAATCTTTTTTTAACTCTTTCAAAAACACTCCAGTAATAGTAATATAATAAAAATATTTTCATAATGTTTGAAGTTGACATTTTTTTTTTAAATCCAAATTTATTTACGTTTTCCAAAGACGGAATATTATTTCAATGTTAAGCTTAGAAAACACAAAAAATGTTTTGTTGGTACTATCAACGTGTAACCCCAATTTATCAAAGAAATTGAAAAACGAAATGAATCAATTTCTACACATAAATTTGCTATAGAGATGCATATAAATAATTTTTTCAATACATAAAACAGTTTTAAATAGGCTAGTTGAAAAATTACTGATAAACTATTAACGCAAGGCTTTTTAAATGTTGCATGATATCGTTTACCACATATGTATTTACAAATTTTTTTTTTTTATCATTAAAATATAAACATGAAATTTAATAAATTTTTCTGTCTCAAAACAGGAACGAATAATAGTAAATCAAACGGATACTCGGTTAATAGTTTTCAAACAATAATTTCAAAAGATTATTTTTCATGTATAGTTTATTAAACTTAAAAATCTACTTGGATAGTTGAATCTTTTTTTTTATGATTATTTTTCATGTATTTGACGTAATGATATTAATTCTCGCTCTCTTTTAAGAATTAAAAATTGTTTGGTTATTAGGAAATCATTAAGAATTGTCACAATTATTTTAAAAATTATCACCTCGGGAAATACATTTGGTTTAAAAATACAATGTATTTTTTAATACAAAAAATTTTTAATAATAGTGACTTACACTTTAAGAAGTTTTTTGTCATCTGAATAACCTTACTGATATGAAGAAAAAAGTCTTAGCTCTCAATAAAAAGTAAAAGGTTATTTGAACAATAAAACTATTCCTAGGAGTGGTAAATAAACTAAATAAGTATGTAACTATCATACAGTATGTAGTAAGTCGGACAATTACGCACGTAGAAATCAGCAAATTATTTCTTATGTATGGAATTCAATCTTTTACCATATAAAATGTTATTCGTAATTTTAAACATAATATAGCTGTCTGATGCAGCACCTTTTTCTACGAAGAAACCAAACAATAAAATAAAAAATTATGTATATGTACAGGATATCTTTATTAAAAAAAAAAAAAAACCTTATTACTCAACTGCGTATCAAGTGTCAGGTATAACATGATAATTTTCTGTTTTGCCGTTTAGCTTTAACATTTACGTTAGTTTGTAAAAAAAGCTCGTTATACAAGGAATTTTACACAATTAGCACCACGAAGTAGTTTATATTTGCTTCCATGTTATTTAAATATTATTAAAATATATTGATGCATGATAAAAATCTGAGTATCTTAGTTGTTGACCTTAATTTGTTTACAGATTAAAAGTTAAATTATAAATTCTTAACGTAGCTATCAAAGTCCTGTAATTATCCACAGACATATATATTATTTAAGTTATATTAAGATTAAGTATATTGTTTTTTGTGCCGTGATTTATGCCTCATAATGATCACATATTTATATTGTAACTATTGTAAATCTAATATCAGTATCTGATTAAATAATAAAAAAATTGTCATCCAACTAAATATCTGTGATCTCAAAGCTTACACAAAATCGCGTGAACGTAATAACATTTTCTTGTATTTTTTTTTTCAATCCTTCGATAATCCCTATCTTGAATGTCTCTCCACGTAAGTATCATAATTAAATTACAACTATGCACACTTTGGTAGTACAATTGTTTGTCTTGTACATTAAATGGTCAAATCTTTTCTGTGTTGTCTCTCAGGTTCTTTAAATCAACAACAAACTTTTCCCAGCGTCTATTCCAAATCTCTTTGGCTTTTTTCTTCTGCACTACATTCATACTCGAGTACTCGATCGAATTGAGCGCGAGTTTCTTCAAAGCCCTGAGATCGGCACTGCGAGACATTATCCCGACAAAGGCTTCGTAGAAATCGTAACTGAGTCCTTTGGCTTCCCACATGCGAGGATCGTCATTTGACACCACGACCGGGTAATTGTTGGCAAAAAGTGCAGCTGCCGGATGGTTGCGGAGGTCCTTGACCAGACCCAGGACTTGATTGGAAATCGGCGACACCTCGATCGCTATGCTCTTGTCGCGCACCATTTCCATGACCTTCGGGTGCTTTAGCAGCGCAAACCTCCAAATGGAACAATCACATGTTACCACATCTACATCTGATGGGGCAAAGAAAGAAAAAAAAAATAGTCACCCGTGGCCGATCCTTTTGGTGTTGAGCAAAACAGCGTCGACGAGATTTTCATCCACACTCGTCCCGTACCAGTTGGTCTCGCCGGAGTGGAAGAACAGCTGGACATCGTTGCCGATCGAGCGCAGCCCCTCGGCAAACTCCACAAGGGGTTTGCCTTTGTCCTCCTGACCGACGAGATCGAATCCGGCTATGAAGTCCGGGAGTTGCCTTTTCAGCTCCTCAGCTATCTTCAAGTACTCGTTGAACTCGATTTTCTTGCAGTTGCGCAACGGAGCGTAGATCAGCTTCACGCCCACAAAGTCTGGGTAGTCTTTGAGGAATCTAAATGGTGAAATAATTATTTTAATCACCACACGAGTCACTGAGGTGTACTACAATCTCATTGTTTGATGGATCGAGAGAAAACTACGTGAAGAAAAAAGCTGATGAACATATTTGCTTTAATTTAAATAACTTTCAAGAAATTGTTTTAAAAAATCAACACTCGCTTACGTGTCATTCGCAATCGCTTTATTCATCTACAAAAAAATTAATTCAATAATATTTAAAGATCATCCAATCGCGATTAGATAATCTGCTGTCGTAAAATCGGTATGTGTATACATGCTTACCTGTCGGTGACTTTTTTGTAAATTTTTGCAACCTCCACATTTTCATACTTCGTACCATTGAGATCGTACAACGTTGGCAAAGTCGTCCTTAATTCAAGATAGAGTACGTTGTCATTGTAAAATTCCAAAAGTCCTTGGTAAAAGTGATCTTCGTAGATCGGTCTGGAGAAAAAGTCATTAATCTTGTTATCATCAAAAATGTTGACTCGTCGTTTCTACGATTCACTCGTGCACGAAAAAACTCACCTGTACGTCAAAAAAGGAGTGATGAATATAAAAATCGACATGAACTTCTCCCAAGCCGCGTCACTATCTGGATAGGCCAGTTCAGAATTTTCACTGTTCATCGTCATTTTCTGTCGAATTTTACGATCGACATCGTTACGTTTTTCACGTAAATCCCCAAGCAGAGTCCAGTTGCAGGTATGGTCGGGCTTGTCAAAAAACTGGAGCTTCGGATCTCTATCGATGTCGCAAACGTACAAATCCGGCCGGTAAGTGATGTTATTCAGGACGTAGTACATCGAGACAATAGCTGTGTCATGGGCATGAAGGATGGAGCCTTTGGGCATTTTTTGGATTATTTTGAACACCGCTGACCGACGGATCTTCTCAGCTGCCACGAAGAAATTCTGCGATGGCAGGAACTTGGACGGTTTTTTGCATCCTAGAATATAATTTTATGATTACTTACGTAAAAAATCCATATTAACGACAAATGGTCGTGGTTTGGTAAGTTACGGTCAGCTTCTTATTATTGCAGTTGAGTAAAATTTTCTACATGATTCAACATATTAAATCATTTTGGATGTACATCTGTTTCAATTACGAAACTTCAGCTTGACTTACGGAAAAAAAAAAATTTTTTCTTTTAATACTTCTTTATCTAATCGTACCGTCACCTATGAAAATTAGTGTTTTCGTTGCACTTTGAAGATTAACTGTAAATTAATAATACATTACTCACCTTAGGTAAGTCACCTAAATTAGAAAAATAAAGAATTTACGGAGGAACACCGAGGGATTCTTTGTTTCCTCCCGTAGGTTTTAACGATTTTTCACCAATCCTGCGCCGAGAGAAGGGATTTCCGTTCCGCGAAGCGTAAGGAATGTTCCTTCTGTCGGCACAGTATATGCCGAGAAAAACATACTTTTAAAAAAAAATGAAAAAGCTTCATTATGTACAACAAAATTGTTTTCCATTGAAGTTTGAAAATACTTTGTACAAAAGGCTGTGTTACACTACACCGATGTGAAAGTAACAGATTTACATAACGATAATTTTACTGGTTGGAAGCGTAACAATTAATTATGCAGTCTTTTATTTAAAGGTCAAAGAACTGGACAGTGCAAGCTACATTATCTGATTAGAAATTGAAGCATATGATCAAGCAATTAATTACTTTCGATCCATTATGCATTAATTTTTTGATTGACTTGTTTATTGATTATTGATTTTTTTTTTTTAATTTTATTTATGTGACATGGATTGGTTTTGGTAGTTAAATTTTGTATTTCTCATTAGATACATCAATAAGTTCCCCAAAAAAATCCTATTTGCGAAACTGATAACGGCGATCGGGTCGCATTGGCTTCAACGGAAAGCTAACAATCCCTACGAAAACTAGTTTTCACAATAATGGCACCTCTCTGGGTATTTCCCCTCAACTAATAACGCCTTCCTCCCTCGCTAGAGAAGAATATTTCTCACTGGGCGTACGTAATTTATGACGTACTTTATTTTCATATACATCATGAAACAGAAAAGTATGCAGCTACGAAGGATTTTATTTTTAAAATTTTTCCCGAGTAAAAAAAAAATTTTGTTAAAAGAACTGTTTACGTTAGTTATCCATTGAATGCTTGTAGCAAAAAATATTGTTTTTAATAAGTAGATACTTGATATAAATTTAGCTAAGTAATGATTACAATATTGTCAATACACATGGGTTTCCCCAGATTTTACACTCTTTCCTTGAATTGACAATTGAATATGTTTGAAATCAATTTTATTTTTCAAAAATCGATTGTTATCGTCAACGACTTACTGTTTGCTCAAAAATTTTTCTTGCTTCGAATAATGATTCCAAGGATATGATTATTACCCACGTTGAACGCTTTCAATAATCTTATCGTTGTCTTTAACAAAAACTATACGTTTTTATGAGTAACGAAAAAATAAAGGTTTTTTGATTGCATTTCATAAGAATCATAATATTGCCGTGAGAAGATAAGGCGCGTCCCACGTGTTCAAAATAATCTATTTGACCAAACATTCGGTAATAAGATTCAGTAAAAAGGAATGTCCACGAGGCTTGTTTGAACTTGCGATATGACTATCAACCACGTGGGGGTGTTCAATCATTTTTACCACTATATCTATCCGTATACAATGCAAATACCCGATAGACACCTGACAAAATATCCTCGGATAAATCGAATTCACCCTTCCCTGGTGTAATTTCAATAAAAAAAAAAAATTTTTTTTTAATCGAGCCACACCAAAAAAATCGAGAAAAAATAATAACAGTAATAACAATTCAACCAACCGTCATCGATTTCAGCGCGCTTTGCCTTCATGAGGACTTGGTTGGCGGCCTGTTCCCAGTCCTCGAGTTCGAAATCACCACCAAAGGTCCTGTGCTGCTCGTGCTTCAGAAAATCGTTCCTCAATTTCCAATAGTCCTCGACAACCGGTTGGTTCACCACGACGTATCCCAACACCGCGACGATCGCCAACAACACGACCAGCAGGGAACACGAAGTTTTGTAATTCATAATTATTCAAAAAGTAAGCGATTTAGAAAAAAAAAAAAAAAAATGACAAACAGATACAAAAAGTCGTTTTGAAAATTATAATAGGCGATTGGCCGATGATTGACATCAGTCGAGACACGCGAGCCGACTGAGGAGAGCAGAGCTTTATTGCCCGAGTACTTATACGTGAATGATGAGAAAAAGAAAGAACTGGCGAATGGGAGAGAGCAAAGCACAATGTATATATATAAATATGCGAAAGAGGGGCAAGTGTGTCCGCTCACGTTCTTCGTCGTCAATTAGCCGTACATGTGTGCGGAGCCCGCTGGAACCGATATAGCGTGACGCGCTTTGAAAGAGAAGGCCCGCATGCTGAAGAAGTGCGTTGTTGTTGGGAATATATATATATATATGAATGCGTTAGATACAAGCGCACGATTTGTATGTGTATACAATAAACGATCGTGATTAGATGAGTGTCTCATGAGCACACGTGGTTGCTGTAAGTATAATATATGTAAGTCATAAAAGTAAGTAGCGGCTAATCGCGCGAGTGTACGATCGCATTTTTGTGAAAAAGCAAAGACGAGGATCGAGAAAGAGAACTCTATGTTCGCTACAAGGCGGTGTTGTTGTTGATTGGCAAGTATTTATTAGGATGTGTGTTTTTTTCTTACGAGCCAGCTTTTTTTTCTTTTTTTTTTTTTTCTACAAACATTAAAAAGTTCATACCGATCTCTATGAAGTGTTTAAATTATCGAGCCAATCAATGGACAGTATGGGAGATCACGAAAATAGATGCCATCGGATTCTGCGAAGTGCGTCACTGTGGCACGGAGCTTTTCTCCTCAATTAAAATAACTTGGACGAGTCGCGTGTGCAAATTCTTTGCACCGATATCGGAAATATTTTATGTATACAAGAGCTCTTTTTTTTTTTTTGGGAAATCATTTAAAAATATATTTTTTTTTTTTTTCAAATTCGGGATGAGGAAAAAACAATAGTTACACTATTTTAATTAACATTTTATTAAATTTTTATAATTTATAAAATCATAAAGCATCAATTTTACTAGCTAGGATGTACCTACAAAACAACACTTTACCCCAAAAAAAAAAATACAAGGGAAAATACACGAGTTCGGCATATAGCACGTGTACTGAGTCTTGTTTAGAACATTGAACACAAATCTAAAGACCAAATTTCTCCATCACGTGACTATTTTCTACGCTTATTTTTGTTTGGGGGCTTCTTTTTCAAAAAATTGTAACGCAAATCGGTAATTTGGTCTTTGGATTCAAGTTCAACTTGGGGGGGAACAAAACATCTAGTACACGTTACATTGTACCGTTCTTGTGTAAACACATATTTATATCTTACTCTATTTTACTCTTTGGTCCTGTATATACTTAATCTTCGCGAGATTTTTTTATTGCCGACACCCGTTAAAATATAAAAAACAATTTAACATATTGAGTTATCATTTTATCCCACAACCGTCACAATACATCGATTTATAACCTACGTAACATACACTTATTGTATGTGAATATCTTTTTATAAAATTATAAAGGTATGAATTATTTATTTAAATAAAACAAACGACTACACTGTAAATTATCGCAGTAAAAACTTTTTGTCGTCTTCGTGGCAAGTAAAAAACAAAAAAAACCTCGTATGGATTAAAAAACACGGAAAAATCCCTAAAACGCACACAAACACGTAATTAAATAAAACGTAAAAAAAAAAAAAAAAAAAAAAAGTACAGCGAAAAATATTTTTACAAAAAACGAGTCAAAAAAGGGTAAAGCGTAGGTATGTGATATCTCGCTCGAACGAGCCGTGGAAATCACTGATGATCCTGGCCACTCGCAATCTCAAGGACGAACCTCCTCCAGCGCCGGCTCCAAATGTCAAGGGCCACGAGCTTCTCCGAGTCGTTGAAGCTGCTGTACTCTATGGAGTTGAGGGCTAATTGTTTGAGAGCTCGGAGATCGGCCCTGCCCGACATGATGCCGACGAAGGTCTCGTAAAAGTCGAAGCTCAGCGCTCGAGCGCCCCAAAAGCCGGGGTCGTCGCTCGACACGACGAGGGGCAGGTCTCGGGTGAACAGGTAACAGGCCGGATGGTTGCGCATGTCCTTGACGAGTTTGAGCATCTGGTTGGAGATCGGTAGGATCTCGATGGCTATTCGTTTCATCTCGATGAGCTCCATCAGCGCCGGGTGTTTCATCAAGGCGTACCTGTATACGTACATCAAAAGTATACAAAGTCTTTGTTGGTGGTGTGAGCGCAAGGTGGGCATTTTTTTACAATAAACGCATTCAACGTCTTCAAAATTTACAACTGGTTCTTTATCATACAGTGGATTGCCTATTAAATGGTATAATTTATTACATGAGGGACTAAGCTATTTCATGACGATTCTCAACAGGCTTTTTAATTTTTTTTCATGTGTATCATTAATGGTAAAAACAAATTTTTTTTCCTTCAGTACCGATAACAGCGTGCAAATAGTACATTACGATACTAGTGCGCTAGGAAGGCGATGGCATGGAAAACGTGAGGGACCAAGACGATTTATTGTAGTTGAAAATAAAATATGCACCATCTATCCTTGCTACAAACTAGACTTTGGCACTATTGTAACATGGATTTATGAATTTTTTTTTTTTTTTTTTTCGTGGCTTAAATTGCATTATAATTTTTACCAAAGAATTTTTTTCTAGCAGATAAGGCAAACCATTCGTTATCACTACTTATTTTACTAGAAATAAAATATTTATATACTTTTTTACTCGCTAACGCTCGTGTATCAATCACCTAATACAACTTTTCGACACATCATGCGCGGGGACCTCGATTATGAGCCATCTAATTTAGCTCTAAAAATCTCGACGTACCTAGGTACACACGCACGATGTGTCGAAAAGTTGTATTAGGTGATTGATACACGCGCGTCAGTTCGCACACAAGCGCCAGCGAGTAAAAAAGTATATAAATATTTTATTTCTAGTAGAATTAGTGGTGATAACGAATGGTTTGCCTTATCTGCTAGAAAAAAATTCTTTG